TAAATTTATTTGGTATCTTACTTTCCGGCATTAGACGAAGTATTACGTTATTATTCTCGCTACCAAGTCCTGTATAGCATACGCCCGTCTACACCGGTGTCGACTGATTAAATTGAACAGTCTCAAATTTTGCCCTATTTAAAGGGGTCTGCAGGGTAGCGAGACTCGGGAACTAAAATGGCGGAGCTTTAAAGTGCTTTGGCACATATCTTTATATAGTTGTCATAAATAATGTCAAAAAGATAAAATTTTAAACACCCGTACACAAAAGTTATAAAGTGCAAAATACATGTAAGTAAATTTTGTGACATTACACATCCATATAGCCTTAAAATGAAGAAAACTATAAAGGCAATGCTATTTCAAAATTCAGAAAAATGTCAACGACCACCTATATTCAGCACCCTTAAAATGTTTTTCATTCATATACCCGAACAGGGTATATGTGCTCCTGATCATTTTACAGCAGCTTGGGCAAAATAGTTAGTTTTGGTTTTAATAGTATTTGAGAAATTCTGGAATAACCATCGAATAAAAAAATGTTACATGTGTTATGCTGTTTGTTTTCACCAAAAATATACCATCCTCCACCCAATTGGTTGATTTAACAATACTCACGTTAGGAAATATTGAATTTGTCTATGCAATCTTACAGTAGTTATAAATTTGATATGAATGTCCCTTTATTAATGTCATTTACACATTGTATATATATGTAGGACTCCAAAGTGCGATGGGACTCCAAAGTCCGATGGTCACGCCAAAGTCCGACGGTCTGCGCCAAATCCTGATGGTTTGACACGCCAAAGTCCGATGGTGCATAAAACAATTAACTTTAATGACGTCATAATACTCCTGCGCGAAAATGCGATGCCGCGCCATGCCAAGGCCCAATTGTTTAAAATAAATACAAATAAATAACAAATACAAAGACTACCCCTAATCTTTTGAATATAGGTGCAATACTAACACTTATCAGTCGAAAAATGTGTAACGACTATAAGCTAGATATCTTGGATGGGTGCAGGACTAACCCAAATCAGTCCAATAGTGTGCGAGGACTAACCGTAAAATCTGTCGGGTGAGTTCGAAGAAACAAATTGGTGTTCAAGAACTAACCCTTATCAGTCGAATAGTGTACAAGGACTAACCCTAATGGCTTTGGTGGGCGAAAACAATAAGCAAAATCATTTAAAATTGTATGCAAGACAAATACAAAATCTATGAATTTTGAATGCAGGACGACATCATGACGTCGGACTATTGTGACGTCATAAATATTGATTCGCGGGTATGTTAAGGCAGCACATGGATCAGAATTCGGCGAATTAACACTTTTTTTCTAATTATGTAACATTAATAAGTCGGAAAAGTCAAGGATAAAACTTTTGCTATAATTATGCATTCTATAGACTTCAGTGGGACTTATACTACAGGAAGCACTTCACCACGACGTCACCACGTGACGTCTATAATTAGAAAATATGCCTTAATGAAAAAGTGAAAAGTTTAACACTACCCCGGGGATATTTAGTTTCAATTTGTAATAGTAGTTATGTAAAAACATCTCTGTTCCATAAAAAGTGCTGCTAGAATCCTACTGTCCTATTATAGAAATAATTATTCAACAATTTCGGTCGAAACCTTCCCAAAATTTTTACATTTTGTTCATAACATCGAAAAAAGTGCATCAATTCCCGTAAACCATACGTTTCTAGCAGCACTTTCCAAAAACAAAAGAATAAGAAGTTTAGATAGAAACAAAAATTAAGTTTCAAGGTATGCGGCGTAGTGTTAAACTTTTGCATTTTTTTTTTGCTACGAACGATAGAGGAAAGGCTGATCGGCAAGTAAACACTCTCCCTGTTTTAATTTTACGAAGAAATTGCAGAATTATATTACCATACATTATTCGTACGCTTTATTCCCACAGGAATCACACATGATATTCTTTCTTAATGGTTTTAAACTCCGATTTCTTGTGTTTGTTTACATGAATTCACATTACGTTTCAATTTCACTCTGCTTCTGCATGATCAACAGTTATGACGTCACGGGTTTGGTATGTAACCCCTGTGATAACTACAGAGGCACAGGAATGACAATATTCCGTTTATATTATGCCTCTGCATATTTTGATTCATTTTTACGACCTCAAATCAATCTTAGATATCGATTTTTAATTGTTATCTCTAAACTTCACGTCATATAGCTTACTTTGACGTCATATTATATAGGCAAGTAGAATATTTGGTTGTAACCTTAACCTACCTGCGTTGTTCCTCCGCACCATCGGACTTTGGCGTATCAGAACATCGCACTTTAGCGTCGCGTGTCTCATAGGAAACGAGCCATCGGACTTTGGCGTGACCAACGGACTTTGGCGTCCGTAAAGACAGCGAGCCATCGGGGTTTGGCGAGACCATCGCACTTTGGCGTCACCATCGCACTTTGGAGTCTTACATAAATATGTTTCAAAATATATCATATTTTATTATCTTAATTTCCTCTAGAATGTGACGTTGGAATGTTTGGTGTTAACTGCAATGAAAGCTGTGGCCATTGTCAGAATGATGGGCAATGTCAACATGTAAACGGTACTTGCTTACAAGGATGTTCAGTTGGATATCAAGGCGTTCGCTGCACCGACGGTAATAAACATTCTTTTTTAAAAAGTATATACATATATATAATCATTTTAAATTTCACAATTTTAGTTTTTTAGAAAGAAATGTGTTTAAAAATTCGACGGAAATGGGACATTAATTTATAATAATGATGCCAGAATATTTTCTCATAGAATCAATCTCTATAGCTTTTCCTTTTAATGACTTAAAATGAGGGACAGAATATAACATATATTCATAGAAGTGAGGGTAATATTGCTTTGTTGCTGTCTGTCGGTTGAAACACTGCATGTCTTTTCATTTTCTTCTCAGTGGTTGCACATACTGAAATCAAATTTGGGTATACAGATCTGTCATAAGAACATCTAGGTCAAGTTTTTTAGGTATGATCGAGCCATTTGGACATAGTTATGCCCCTTTGACTTAGAAAATTTCCAATTATTTGTATATTTCGTTCATTTTTTTTTCAAAAGTTACACCTTTTGAAATGAAATAATGTGTACAGATTTTTAAAAAAAACCAAAAACATTTATATATCTAGATCAAAATCTGTTTTTGTAGAGATCGAGGCAGTTTTTGACAAATTTATGCCTCTTGGACTTTAAAATGTGCATACGTACATGTATTAATAATTTTTCATTTTCGAGTTCGCAAGGTTCCTAAAATAATTGAAATATTAATTTTGTAAGAATGTGACGGTGGAATGTACGGAGCTACTTGTGGTAAAACATGCGGTCATTGTCTGGATAACTTACAATGTCATCACCTTAATGGCGTATGTTTAGATGGATGTTCTTCTGGATATAAAGGATCTCTCTGTATAAAAAGTAAGCAAGTGTTGAGGAAGCAAATGTAAGAATGTCCACAAGTGTGATGAACTTTCATTCTTAACTTAAAAGTTCATGTAACATATTGTAATGATATAAAATTATGAAAGATTTACGTTTTCTATAACTACTGAATAAAAAACTAATTACGATTTAAATGGGTATTATGTACATTATTATAACAATAGTTAAAAAAGTGTCAATATTTTATTATCAAGTAAAATGAGTCAAATTTAACTAGTTAAACTCCCTTGATCTGCTTTTAAATATGCATATTTACATAACAGTAATATATGACATTAATATTCAATTTTATGTAAGTGAAGGGTGTAAGTATGGTATTATAATAACTTATGAAATTTAAATGTTGTGAATTCCTGAAAAACTGTGAAAAAGTTAAGCGGCACCAATAGATAAAAGTTTTTATATAAACATAGAAAGCAAAATTTTACATGGTGACCATGCACTGTTTAGATTTAAAATTTAAATTCTCTGTTTAAGAATGTGAAGAAGGAAAGTATGGGTTAAACTGCAGTAACAACTGTGGAAATTGTCTTGAAGATACACAATGCCACCATGTAAACGGTTCTTGCTTACAAGGATGTTCATGTGGATACCAAGGGATGCTTTGTACTCAAAGTAAGCGATAACTTTCATTGACTTACTTAAGTTAATAACAATGTATATACTTATCATCTTGTTGGGTAAAAAATATTTGTAGATTTTTTCAATGGAAATGTACTTTATTTTTTTTATTCAAATATATAATGTAGCCTCCATAGTAGTACATGACTGTGATTACTATTTACCTAGGAATATGCTGGGTAAAAAAACGAAGTATTTCAATGCAATGAAAAAAGTATCCATAATAAGTCTAGTGTAGAGTTTGTTTAAATCACCCCACCCCACCCCTTTTTTGGTGAAGGATGTGTTTTAACCGCATATATTAATTTTTTCTACACCAAATTGATTTCTATAACCAAAGTGCTTTTATGAGCAATGTGGTCCAAAATACTATCGGTATGACATTAAGATGATCTTAATTACCTTTATTCATCTCTATACTTGCTCTATAAATATTACAGAGATTTATTTAGATATATTTTTTGTATTTTTTCATCATTTACACCTTACATGTATATTATTAATTATAAGAAAACCAGACCTGTAGCACAGATTGTGTTAGTCAAACTTGTCATCATGAATCAGGTGTCTGTTTGACGTCATTTCAGGTGAGCTGTAAATTGAGTTACAAAATATATACCAAAATACAGAAAACTGGTCTAACGATAACTTTTTTTTCTTCATCAGACATTTTCGAGTTAAATTCCTTTTTTTAAAAAAATCGTGTTATATTTATACACCTATTATGTTGAAATGGGCAAATGCATGCCAAATAAAATATTTTTCTTTGATGACGGTACAACAGCGGCATTGAGTTCTTTATTAAAAATCAATCATTGAAAACAGTCGCAGGTACTAAAAAGTAGTAAAAGTTTCTTAAAAACTCTGATTAAAATATTTCATTTTCAATTTATAGAAGAGGCCTGACACACATACCATTGATGTCACAACTATCATAATATGTGTTGTAGTCTCTCTTTTCATTGTATTCATCGGAAGTGTCTTGAACTTTCTCATCTGGAGGCGGAATGGGAGTGAGTATATTTTTTTTTTCATTCATCAGGTCTTTATGAGTGATGTGTCTTCAGATTATATTACAAGCAGAATAAAAACAACATTATGGGTATACAATGTTTATAACTGTCCATAATTATTTGTTAGATAATTAATCCTTTTATTAATTAGAGGAACGATGTAGATGTACGTGTATAAAAGAGCTGTTTGTCTATTGACTCCACAAACAGTTAATAGGTTGTTGGGTTCGACAAAACGCATGTTGCCCTGGAGTTCAGTCAATAGAATATAATATTTTAATTCATAATAAAATGCTCTGAGGATAATTTATTCATATATTTACAGATAAAGCTAAGGAAAGCAGACGAGTCGGACAAAAAATTAATTTAAACGAACTGTCAGCTGTACACCTTGCAGGTAAAATATACTCAATGTTTATAAGAGAATATTTTTTTTATAGTTTTATACTTTGTTATTGAATGTGTAATTTATTTTCAACGGAAAATGAAAATTACTCTGTTTTTACCGATCACCCAAAGCGGAAGTAAAATCACATATGTTAGAAGTGTTGAAAGTCGGCTTCCTGAAAAATCAATTTAAAGATGCAGAATTCGCAATGTAGCGGTTATCTTGAATTTAATCGATATTCTAGAATGTTATAAGGGATTTAACTAGGCTGTGTTGCCAACTAACAAGTAGGAAAACAAACGTTTTTTTTTTAATTTTTAAGAAACTGGGGCAACACTGTCTGAAATAATCAAGAACTGATATAAACAGACAGCAGACCGATAGACTATCAAAGGCCACATTTCTTCTTAATAAATTCTGGTTTTTGCACAAAAGATGTAAATTGAGATCAGTTTTTCGTTATTATTTCAGATCAAAATATCGAGAGAGATAAGTATGCAATAACATATTTTTTATCTTTACTTCATTTCTAATTATCCTTCTTATTTAAAACCATTTCATTATATTATTTTATACGAAACTGTTCACAGGACTACCTCACCTTATACAGAACTTGGTACCCTGAACAAATCTGACACTTACGAGGATCTTCACATCTGTGCTGACCGTGAAGAGAAGAATTGATAAAGTTTACGTGTAGTACACTTTAAATATAGTTTCCTTTGTTAACTTTGGTGAATTTTGCCAAGGTATCATTGCTTTGTAATATACATTTTCTAATCTTGGATGACTGATGACTGATATTGTTTCTTTCTGTAGGATAAAGTAAGGGTACTTAAAATAAAGTGATTTCAAAACTTGTTCTATGTCTAGAGGAATAAGACAAGGATAAGAATATTCTATTTCAGCCTTGCAATTTATTTTTATTTCTTGCAGAAATATTAGCTAACATTTTAGGAAATACAAGTAACGTAAACTTATTTATATCAAATAACGATGCAATAAAAGCCAGTTGATAAATGTGAAATTCTATTCATGATAAAACGTCTTTAAATCTTCATTTTGTTGACTTTCGTTCATTGAACTTACAGGATGCAAAAATAAATTAAGCTGTCATTTTACAGTGTCAAATCGATTATAATGTTTTTAGAATAACTGCGAAAAATATATAACTTTATATTTTTTGTTCTTCTTATTTAAAACAAATTGATTCTTATCGTATTTTGAAAGAAGCTGTGTTGAACGTCAATTGATAAAGCATTTACTGTATGTTAATTTATGTAAGTGAAACAGAAGTTTATAATTATAATAGTCTACATATTAAATAATATGGAATAGCACGTTGAAATTTTATCTTCTGATGATCCCATGTAGCTATATTTGTGTTGTTTAATTCATCGTTTAATAAATAATGTTAAAAATTAAAAGTGTGTTTGATCAAGAAGTTTAAAAAAAATAGAAAATAGTATTGTTACGTCTTGATGAATAGCAATAAACTAATTTCTGGCTTTATTTCAGGAAAAGGGTAAATATAATTTTCCTGTAGAATATTAAATTGCAAGAACAGTCCTATAAAATATACCTGCAATGACAACGCAAAATCGGAAACTTTGTTAAAAATATCAAGTTTTACTGTAATTGGCACAATCCAGGAGACTCGATTAAAATATTTCAATGTTGGGTACAAGAGAATACCGTATAAGCAGAATTTCTAGCGAGGATTTATTTTCGGCATTAGCGAGGATTATGAGATTGCTAAATTTGAATATCGCTAAACATTAATTGCGTTTTATTTATATTAAGTTCTTACGAGAGCATTTTAAAATCGCTAAAATAACATCTCATTGAAAATAAAATACCAGTTTTAAGGACTAATAACTAACTTTGCGACTCGCTAAATTTACCACTTATACGGTATGATAAATCGAAATATGAAAAAAAAATGAAAAAGTATATAACATAAACAATGATAAATCATAATTTAATCATATATTGAAGGTCTTTTGAAATTTTTACTTCAATGCTTCTCTCTGCTGGATTTTAATAAACTAGTTCTGAATAGTTTAATAAAATGTATCAATTTTTCGAAAAGTATAAAATGCGTTTTTACCTGCGAATAATATTTTCAGAAACATATTTCCATTAGTTGTTATTTGATTTTTATTATTTATTAAAGTCTAGGACTGTAATATTAATTTTTACTTTGTACACTTATTTCTCTTTTTTAATGCTATTTGTAAAATATGAAAACGTCTTGTAAATATATCTTTGTGTTATATTTTTCCTTAATACGAAAGATTGATAATTTTGTTGATAAATGGAGGTCACATACTGATAATATTAATTTTAAAAATCTTCATTGCACACCTTGCATTATTTGTTAAACACACACAGAGATATGATATCTCCCTATTTTTTTTATCTATACTTCCTCGTCTCTACTTAAACAAAGTTATCGGGATATCTGTGTGTGACTTCTATCATTGATGTAACTGCATTATAAGGTAAAATCCAAAACATTTCTGTTTACTATTACATAAGCATTTCTATCCACAAATTTAACTGAATTGAAATCTAAGTGCGGATTTATAACAAATATTAAGAACTTTATCACATCACATGTTCCTGAAGGCATATCAATGTAACAAAAAGCAGTATGTCCTCTTCGAATTTTAACCAATTATGAAGTCAATTTCTTGAGAGAACGTTTGGTTATTGTATTATTTCATATAATGAATTAACCTCTCAGCGACATTGCAGAGTAGTTCTCTTGTTGAAATACATACTTTCTTTTTCTTGGTTTTGTCTCCCCGACCTGGGGGTCATGATTTTAATAATTTAAAATCTTCACCACCCCAGATGCTTCCACTTTTATTCCAGCTTTTCTGGCCCAATGGATATTGAGAAGAAGTTGAAAATGCGAACAGTTTACAGACGGACGGCAACTACGAAGGTATAATCGGGAAAGCTCACTTCAGCTTTCATCTAAGGTGAGATAAAAATATACAGCTCAATTTGAAAGATCACACATGAAGAAGCGTGTCCCTCCTTTTTTAGAATAGAGGGTTTGGCATACTGTAGAAGTACTTTTTCCCCGTTGTATTAATTTATGCTATTTACGCGGTCACAACTTTTTCGCGGAAATTTGTCCAAGCATACTTTAAATATAAGGCATATAAAGTGACAGTCTACTAGGAAATCTGCGTAATTTTCTAAAACTGGATTAAACAGAAATTGACATTCCGTGGAATTATGACCCCGTGGAAAAAAAGTACGTCTACAGTATTTCATTATCAAATCGTAAGGGGTCACATTATCCTGCTTATTACAAAGATAGTGCCCTCATAAGCTAGCATAATTTCATATTCCTGATCGCTGCACTGCGTGGATATTGTTTTGAAGATCTCATTAACATCAAATATACCACAAATGACAAATGAAATTTTCACACGTCATCTTTTCATAAAATCAAACATGAAAATATTTTGGATTCGGCCTGTCGAAGAAATTTCTTCATTAATAATAGTTCAGGGTTTGCATTCAAAGTAATGAAAAGTAATAATTATAATACAGAAATAGATGAGATACATAACATTTGTGCGCTTGAAGAATAGATTTAAAATATGACCTAAAAATCATCCACAATCAAATTTAATATGAATTGATCCACTGAAATTCATATGATAAACCTGTAGAACAATTCACACGTTGAGTTATTTATTTTTAAGGAATGAATAGAAAAATCGGTTGCTCCTGAACTACAGAAATGGTATATTTCTCTCCCAAAGCTAAAAAGCATGAAAAGTCTGTACCTACAAATGAATTTGCTTTAATAATATATTATCTAAACCGTCGCAATTTTAAAGAATGATGTATGTGTTTTATTTTGCAGGCATTTGTTGTCAATATACATGTAGAGTATTTTGGTGCCATGAGGATGTTCAGAATTGCCCTGTTTTTCTCATGTATGGCATATACTTTTGCGATTGGTAAGAGGAAAACAATGGGAGATAACCGATTCTATTAGTCAATTTCATTGAATCGCCTTTTTATCTAGGGTACTTTCTCACTGAGAAGGAAATAACTTTAAGGAAATTATCTTTGCAAAATACCAGTGTTACCGACCTCAGAATAGAAAATTTCTTCATAAATTTAACCATGACGCTTTTTTGTAACCTTAACGGTTCAGATTTATTTTAATTTTACATTTTTTTTTCAAGAAAATTTAGCTTTAAATAAACCAGCATGGCAGGCGCACAACTGGTCCGGTAAGGAAACAGAATGGGGAGCATGGAAGGCAGTGGATGGACAATATTCTAACCGTGCTGCAGGTGGAAACCAGTGTACGATATCAGCAGATGGACAACAGATAGCCGAATGGAGGGTAGATCTTGGGAGAATTGTCAGCATTAGTTATATCGACATCTGTTACAGGACTGATAATGTTCGTAGTATGTACACCGTAAAAAAATTCAATAGAAACAGAAGAATTGCAGTGATGGAAATGGCTAAGCGCCTATAATTCTTTTTGAATTATAATTTCCTTTTCAATTCGTCTTTGTACCATCTATTACTATGAGATCAGTTACCTTTTGGGAAAAAATTACTTTGCTTACATAGTGTCTAAATAATGTAAGTAGCTTTTCAATCATATATTCAATTTACATATTACAAGTAAAAGATGATATTGAAAACATGACAAAGAGTATGTTCCCAAAATATTTACATCCATGAATGAATATTTCAAAAAAATTATTAAGAAATCTGAAATACTTCATGAGTTGTTATTTTCTTTTTTTTAAAAAAAACTTGAATGTAATCAGTAAATGTATTTTCTACATGTATTAATTATGTCTCAGATTAAAATAAGTTAAAAAGCTCTGAATGAAATATTTTTGAAATTATCGATTAACTATTTACAAAAAACGGTGTTTCAAACACAATATACTTTGTGTTTCTTGGAAAGAATACTAGCATTAGATTTACCTCACACCTCATACAATTGTTGTATCTTAAAGTTAGCATATTCTTTAATTCAATATCCATATATTTTATAACTTCCATGTCATTAATCGCTGATCTGTAGATTGTACCTTTTCAGGTCCCGGTGCGTTTTATGATCGTTTTGCCGGCTTTTACCTCTACGTCTCCAATACTACATCGAAGGAGAACGGAAAGAGATGTTTCCACGAATTGCAAAATGTGAACGGTACGCCATCGGAAGACCAGAGAATCAATTGTTCTGTGTATGGAAGATTTGTCATTTACTTCAACCAGCGAATCCAAGGCTTTCACTATCCTTCCTACTATTCTCAGTATGCATACAATGAATTGTGCGAAGTGAAAGTATTTGGTAAGTTCTGTTTTATAACACACAGTGTTTCAGTATACACTACAGACTTATCTTTTACACTGCCTGGCTCTATTTTACAATTTGTAATTTTGTATTTTGGACAATACACAAGGTATATTGATTGATTAACCTCGCTTTTTAAAAAGGCTGCCCTGTTACTGGATATTATGGAGAGAATTGTACCAAAACCTGTCCACGGAACTGTCAGGGACAGCAGTGTGACGCCAATACTGGAAATTGTCTGAATGGTTGTATAGAAGGATTTAAAGGCCCACACTGTAGTTATTGTAAGTGTATTCATTTTAATCGAAAACTTTATTTTAAAATTACTTTTATTTATTCGGGAAAAAAGCCCTTTGATGACTGACTTTTTTAAACATTCTCATATCCCGAATGTTAAATTCCATAAAAAAGTTTATGTTTATTAATTATTCATCCTTTGATCAAAAGTTAATCTTGCACTACGGAAACCAGCCTGGCAAGAAAACGATTATCCCCATCATTCTTTAGTATGGGGAGCAGCAAAGGCTGTAGATGGGAAATATACCGACCGCTCAGCATTGGGATACCAGTGCACAATATCAGCAGATGGAAAACGAACAGCAACATGGAGAGTGGATCTGCAGGGTTTGTTTAGTATCAGTCATATCCACATCTACTACAGAACTGGGAATAGTCCTAGTAAGTATTCAGTATTGTCAATGATTGGGTGATGAAAGTGTTCTTTCATAGAAAACTAAGCGTATGTACTGTTTAAAATCAACTTTTTTTTCACTTTATTTATAAATTTTAACAACACTGAGAAATAACATGTACAATTTGAAAAATCTAATGACAATTTTATAAATTTGTTTTTTAAATCGGTTTTTAGAAGACAGGTAGATTGACGTCGTAATAGTGTTTCGATGCTAGGGTAAACTGAAGCTCTTAAAAGAAAAAGTATTATATGTGAATATATGCTCTTTAAAAGTAAAACATAGAAATTAGCAAATCTCCCGATGATTTTCATTATTGTTTATGTGAATCATTTGAATCTGTCATATTTTGTAGTATGCTATAAAACAGGAACATTCGTTAATTTTGAAATGTTTCCTGTGGAAACAAGATCGTAAAATTTTCAGTTTCTAAGATATTATTTACAATATGGTAATACTCATCATATATTATAACCTGAGCAAAAAGGTTATTGTAATATTTGTAAAATTTGCACATAAATGACACTGTCCAGTATTTCCCTTCACTACATGTAAATGCGTTGGGACGTGGAGACCGGTTCTTCGGATGAGACCGTATAAACTGATGTCCTGTGTTGCAGTAGATGCTGGCATGAAAAAGATCCCTCCCTGTTCAATGGCCTTAAGTGCCGAATATAGGACAAAATTGCAGCTCTCCGCCGGCAAGTGGTGACGTCTCCATATGAGTGAAAAATTCTCGAGAGGGGCGTTAAACAATACACAATCAATCAATCAATACTACAGTTAATGTACCATGTATTTTAGGACGATCCTTTGAAAATTCCTGGGAGGTAGATTGCCCCCCAAACTTGTGTATTTGTGCATTGAATCTATAAACCGAGGCCCCGTGTCACAGCAGGTGTGGCACGATAAAGATCCCTCCCTGCTGAAAGGCCGTAAGTGCCGAGCATAGGCCTAAATTGGCAGCCCTTCACCGGCAATGGTGACGTCTCCATATATCAGTGAAATATTCTGGAGAGGGACGTTAAACAGAATACAATCAATCTATCAAGAAACGTTACATCTGTTATTAAACTTTAGATTTTTTCTTACTTAGTTTTCTCACAATAAACCCCCAGTTGTCTCCCTTCAATCTGTTAGAGTACGCAAATATAAATTTCTTGTAGATAAAGTAAAGCTTATAGTGGGAAAAAACTCATTTCACCACTGAAAGCGAATTTAAACTGTAAACCAACTTTCATTCGCGTGCGAGAAATTTCTGCGAGGTTCGCGAGAGCCTCGTCATCGCGAATATTTCTCGCCGCGATCCTTAAAGTCTCTCTGTCTGTTATCAAAAGATCTTAAAAGGCTTGATTGCGAAAATATGAGGGGTGTTAGAAAAGTTCGCGGACAAGTTCTATTGTGAGCGCGCTATTTCCACGAAACCAGTCAAACTTTCCAGATAAAATCTTAACCATTTTTCCAATTAATATACAAGAATTTGTTTCTCTCTGGTGATTATTAAAAATTAAAAATTTGCGTCACGGAGCATGCTACATTTTGGCAAGTTTATATCACAAAGACTCTTTATTTAAAATTAAAAATTGCACAATTTTAGCGCAAAGGGATTAATGATATTTTTCCTGCCGCTAAAGCATACAGGAAACGTCACTGGGAGAAATTTTGAACTAAATTGGATGGTATATGACTGTATTATAGCCGAATATAAATGATCAACGCGTAAAAGCACAGAATAAATAAATTGCTAGATTCTCATTCGAGTTTTTTTTTTAAAAATGGAGGCGGGCGGGCGGCTTTTATTTTATATTTTTTATTTTTTCAATTTTGCAGATTTTTTTATTGACCTGGTCAATCGGTGTAATTATATCTAGAATACCTGAATAAAAGTCATAGTAAAGGTTCAATTACCTCTTACTTCACATCATCGCTAATCTTTTTTACCAATGACCCTTGTTTAAAGTATATACGCTTGTATTTCAGTAATATTACCATCTTTTCAGCTGTCAAAATCATGTCGACTTTCGCGGGATTTAAAACGAAAGAAGAATGGTAGATGAATACCGATACCGATCAGAATTAAGACGACGAAAAACAGAAATTTAAAAAAATAGAGGCGGGGGTATAAAATCGGGGCGGGCGGGGATGAGAATCTAGGAATATTTTTATTATGGCCAAATCGGAACGTCATTGAGCGTCACGGAGCACTGCACTACGAAAAAATTATTTGTGCAGACAGGAACATGTCTAAAAAGAGATTAAAATGTCAAAGATGCTGCTGGGAATTCTCTACACATACAAAGAACAAGTTTTCAAATGATTGTAGCTTCATAAGAATGGAGGGAGTAACATTTTGAATGATTAACTCCTTCGATACTCCATCGATACTTCAATACACCCATATCACATGGACGTTGCGTTGCGCCTATATGGTTTTGCAAAGCTTCCATACCTTATCGATTAACTGCATAGACTTTTTTTTTATTTTTTAAGATTTCAATGATATCCGAATTAATACAAAAGACATTATAGTAGAAAAGTAACATGTCTTGATATAGAAATCCAATTTTAAAATAGAAAAAAGATCTGAAGAAATGCAAGATTTATAGAACTGCGACAAAGCTTAACAGGTTGAAATCTGGTTGTCACGTCTGTTGTGTATTGGAACACACTTGACCAGTAATGAAGAAAACACGTGTGTATCGCAGAAACTACTTTTTAATTGAATTAACATGTAACAGTGAGAACCAATAACATACACATAACAAAGTTCCGGAATACATGGACACAACATTCCTCCCTCTTAAGTTTTGAAGTAAGATTTACCCCTTTACATTAATTTCTGTGCCTTGCTGGTACATAATGTAATTCGCGGAAACATATTACATACAAATGTAAACTATACATTTAAGAACAAAGCATTAATAGCAACATATGTACAAAACTTTTGTTTCCTTGTGATACCATGAGGATTATTATGCCTCAGTCTGCACTAGTATCACATTTCACTTCAAACATAATCAGCAAGATGTTTGGGCGGTTTCCTGACACGACTCGGATATCTTGGTTCAGGGACAGCTTGAGTAGATGGCATGGCACGGTCGTCATTGGATGGATGCGAAGGACGTGGTTCTGCATTGGACGCGGGCGAGCTCTGTTTCGCGATGTTTGACTTTACTGGTTGTTGACTCACAGCTGTGTTATTGTTGCTAGGTTGAATATGTAAGTCCTCCTGAAATGGCACATTTGAAGAACGCAACTGATCAGCGTGTCGTCTCCATGTGACTCCTGGTGTTACTTCTACAGAATATGATACAGGTCCAGTCTGAGCTGTCACAGTTCCGGAAGTCCACTGAGAATGATCCTTTCGGTAGTCACGAACAGCAACAGAATCTCCTGGTTCGAATTTACGTAACACACTTTTTCTTCTTTCGCGCACTTCACACTGTTTCTCCTCTACTTTCCTCCTGACATCTGGTTTCATAAGATCTAAACGAGATGGTAAGTTTCTGCCCATGAATAGTTTTGCTGGACTTTCATTTGTTGTGCACTGTGGAGCATTACGGTAAGCCATAGGAAAATTGCTGAGTTTCTTCACCATGCTACCACTTTCCTTTTTACTCGACTTGAGACTCATCTTGAATGACTGCACAAATCTTTCTGCTAAACCGTTAGTACTGGGGTGATAGGGTGCTGAGGTTATGTGTTTTATACCGTTTCCTCTAGTAAAATTCGCAAACTCTTCTGATGTGAATTGAGGTCCATTGTCACTTACAATTTGTGATGGTAAGCCATTACGTGCAAAAACGGTACGTAATACATCTATGGTCTGGGAAGATGTGGTAGTTTTCATAGGTATCACCTCTGGCCACTTAGAGTAAGCGTCAACAATAATTAAGAACATTGAATTGAGAAACGGACCCGCAAAATCGATATGGATCCTTTCCCATGGTCTAGACGGCCATTTCCAGGGGTGAATAGGTGCGGCTGGTGGTGCATGCTTTACTGCCTGACATCCAGCACAGCTCTTTGTCAAAAGTTCTATATCCCGATCTATCCCTGGCCACCAAGCATGACTTCTTGCTAAGGTTTTCATTTTAACAACACCAATGTGACCTTGATGTAGCTCATCCAAAACTTGACTTCGCAGTGACGGCGGAATCACAACACGTATTCACCATAATAGACAGTTCTGGTGAATAGTAAGTTCACTACGGCGCGTAAAGTATGGATCCATCTCCTTCGATTCTGAATTTGCAGACCAACCTCTGGACACATTATCGTAAACTTTCGACAAGAGGTAATCATGCCTTGTTTCACGCTGGATTGCTTCAGGTTTGATAGGTAGATGTTCCAGTTGACTGACATGCAACATTTCCACTTCCGTTTCCTCTTCTTTGTCCACTGATCTGTTACCCTCACACGTGACAGGTAAGCGGGACAAGCTGTCAGCATTTCCATGTTTCTTTGTATTTCTGTAGATTATATCATAGCTGTAGCCAGCCAGGAACAGTGCGTACCTCTGCAACCTAGCTGCTGTTGTGTTTGCGATCCACTTCTTTGGACCAAATATAGAGATTAGTGGTTCGTGGTCTGTAATGAGATGAAAACTTCTTCCATAAACATAAGTGTTGAAACGTTTTACTCCCCAGATAATTCCTAGAGCTTCCTTCTCTATCTGTGAGTAGTTTTTCTCAGATGTGCTGAGTGAACGTGACGCATAAGCAATTGGTCTCTCTTCACCATTGGGCATAATGTGACTCAAAACAGCTTCAAGGCCATAAGGAGAGGCGTCTGTCGCAAGACATAAGGGGGGTAAGTTTGGATCATAATGGGTAAGTACTTCATCTGATGTTATGAGCTTTTTAACTGTCTTGAAAGCCTCCTCACAGTCTTTTGTCCAACACCACTTGCGGTCCTTTTCCAGTAAGTTGTACAGTGGGTGAAGCACTGTAGATAAATTGGGAATGAAACGTGCATAGTAGTTCACAATCCTTAAGAAGGAACGAAGCTCGGACACATTAGTAGGTTGTGGTGCATTTACAATAGCTTCTATCTTCTTCTGTGTCTTTTGTAAACCATGACGGTCAATTTCATGCCTACAGAAAGATACTTTATCCTTGAAAAATTGGCACTTGTCCAAATTTACTCTGAGTCCATATTCTGCCAATCTGCCAAGCACAGCATCTAAATTTCGTAAATGCTCTGCTTCATCTTTGCCCGTGATGATCATATCGTCGATGATACACTTCACTCCAGGAAGTCCTTGAAGCACCATATCCATCGAACGCTGCCAAATTGCTGGCGCAGACGCAACACCATACACTAGGCGATTGTAACGATATAAGCCTTTCTCTGTGTTTATCGTAAGTAAGGGACGGGAATCTTCTTCTACCTCCATCTGTAGGTAAGCATGTTTTAAATCCACTACTGAGAATTGTTGTCCTCCAGACAGAGCAGCAAATATATCTTCAATTCTTGGAAGAGGGTACTGGTCAACTTCTAATACTGGGTTAAGAGTCACTTTGAAATCTCCGCACACACGAACTGAACCATCCTTCTTACTGACTGGTACAATCGGCGTAGCCCATTCACTAAAGTTGCACTTCTCCAGTACACCATCTTTCACCAACTTCTCTAGTTCTACCTCAACTTTAGGTTTAAGTGCATAAGGTACCTGTCTGGCTTGACGAACTTGGGTTTTGCATCAGGTTTAACTGTCAACTTGGCCTTGATTCCTTTTAAGGTTCCCCAATCATCATTGAATACACTCGAATGTTTATCTAACACAGTTTTGAGATTTTTCTCTGCTTTGCATGTTGCAAGCGCTTTTATTTCTTGCCAGTTCAGTGTAATCTGTCTCAGCCAATCTCGACCAAACAGTGTAACTCCAGCTTCCTTCACAACATACAGATTAAGGTCCTTGCGTTGGTCCTGGTATCTCACACTGACTTCTGCGACACCCGCAGGTTTTATTCTTTCTCCTGTGTAAGTCTTTAACAGAATGTCACTGGGATTCATCTTGACGTTTGGAAATTTCTCCTTGAATATTTTCTCGGGAATAACAGATACTGCAGCTCCTGTATCCAATTCCATTTCCAGACTAACACTGTTTACTATGGGTGTGATCCTTATCACATCATCTGATCTTCTCATGGAGTTAATATCCATCTCTAAAGTCTTGATGTAGATCTCATCACTATCTGAACTGTCATTTTGATTTATCATGTGAACACTCATCTTATTTTTTCTTCTGGCTGCGACATGCATGTTTAGAGTGACCCTTCTTGTGACACTTGAAACACTCCTTGTCTCTGTAATAACAACTTTGTGGGTTGTGGTCACCATTGCACCGGAAACATGATTTTCCTCCCTTGGGCGTATATTTCCCTGATGTTCCACCATATCCGTGAGACTTCTTTTTAGTATGTAGTTTATGTACACTTGCACTAGGACTGTGCTTAGACTGTAGTTCTGTAGCATCCCTGGCTGCTGTCTCCATAGCAACAGCTATATCTGTAGCGGACGTAAAGGTTAGTTCAGCCTCGGATAAAAGTTTCTTTTGTATATGCTCATTGCGTAAGCCATAAACAAGTCTGTCTCGTAACATATCATCCAGAATAAACAATGTTCAGTTAACTTCCTCAGTGCAGCTACATAATCAAGAATAGTCTTACCTTCTGCTTGCTCCCTCTTATGAAAGCGAAAACGTTCAGCTATGACAAGAGGTTTTGGACACAGATGCTTTCGTAATGTCGCTACTAGGTCGCCATACGATACTTCTGAAGGTTTCTTGGGTCTCGTGAGCCCTCGCAGCAGTGAATAAGTGTTTCCACCAATCAGTGTAAGTAAAACGGGTACTTTCTTCTCTGATTTAACTTCATTACAAATAAAATATTGTTCAAGGCGTTCATGATATGAATCCCATGATTCAACTGCACTATCAAATGGTTCCAATCGGCCTATTTTCCCTGCCATTACTGTGAAAGCACGTGGACCGGTACACAGAACAAATTCGGTACACAATCCGAACAGTTACTTGCACAAATTCGACTAAATCAGAATGTCACACTCACCGACACAGTTTATCCGAGTAACTCATACATTTATGCGTAGGCTTGAACACATTCCTCGTCGCCAATGTTGTGTATTGGAACACACTTGACCAGTAATGAAGAAAACACGTGTGTATCGCAGGAACTACTTTTTAATTGAATTAACATGTAACAGTGAGAACCAATAACATACACATAACAAAGTTCCGGAATACATGGACACAACAACGTCGCTTATGTCAAGTGATTGCTCCGTGAATTCCATGAACCCATGGTAAAAATGGTTGTAAAATTTCAAGATTTTATTATATGGACCTGATTTTTTACATACCAATACACAAAATGTAGGAATTTATTCAGACACAAGTGTTACTTCACACTACAAAATAGATTTTCCGTAATTCAATGTGTCCGCGAACTTTTCTAACAACTCTCGTATATCGCCACGAACTGCTTTACAAATGGTAAATCTTGAAATAAAGTCGTCGCGCATAAAAGTTGGTTTACAGTAGACATTTTTGTCTCAAAAGCAAATTGTGAAATTAAGAAGTAAATTGACGAGAAAAAATCACTCCATTAGACATTTTTATTTAGGCCCTGGTGCATTCTATCAGCGTTTTGCCGGGTTTTTCGTCTACATTTCAAACGATACCTCGAAGGACAACGGTGTTCTATGTTTTCATGAAAAACAAAATATCAGTGGTTCACCCATAGAGAATCAGACCTTGAGCTGTCCATTTGACGGACGTTATGTGATATACTACAACGAGAGGAGAGCGGGCGTACACTATCCAGAATATTACTCCACATTTGCTTCGAATGACTTATGTGAATTTGAAGTTTATGGTGAGTTTTCTGTTCCTGATAAGGATTTACTACATGAATGTTATTAAAAAGAAATAAAACAGTGATATGAAATTTTTTATCAATTTTATTTAAACAGGATGTCCTAATTCTACACACTACGGAAAGTATTGTGACCAAATGTGTTCGGACAGTTGTCTTGGACAGAGGTGTAATTTCTTAACAGGGAACTGTCTCATGGGATGTTCAAGGGGACATAAGGGACCTCAATGTAGACAAAGTAAGTGGCAAATTAATATGCAGTTTTATTTTTATGTAGGTAATAAATATTTTAAGTTTTAAGCAGAAACAGATGCAAAACCCTAGTTATACATTGTAGTATATATAAGTTATTAACTGACTAATTTATTTGAAAGTTAATACTTTTTATTAAAACCTTAACCAAATAAATGTAATTAAATATATGTATGTGTACATTGTGTTTGTCAATTTGTTTTAACTTTCTGCATCGCATGTATCTACTGATAAGTTGTGTTATACACATCAGAGTAAACAATTACTCAAAGATTGAGAGTGTTTTTTTCCTTAAGGTAGGATTTTTCTCTGGTTTCTGACAAGATGGGATAATCAAAGTACATTTGTCAATATGTCTTGTATATTTAGATTTTGAAATTTAAAAGACCATATTTTTCTTTCCTCATCACAATTATACAGCTTTCAATAGAAATGGTAAATGGCGTTTGAAAACTAGCAGGGACTAAATTTTTGGCGGAATGGTGGCGTATGAAAATATCTCCTTTTTTGCCTCTCAAAATTATTATAGAACATTGAATTTAGTTATTATTTTTACGCAATCAAAGACTAGACGAAATGTTTAAATGTAAGTTAAATTATTAATTGGGACTAAAGTTTCAAAATATATCAAATAAATAAGATTTTTCACGCATACTAGAACTATGTTGGCTTTTAAATGCTTCAAATCTAAGTACAGATTGGGGCCAAAAATCTGTAAAAAGTATTATTTCTCTCTAAGTAAACGATCAAAACTTTTAGTTTTTGTATCATTTTGTACCTTTCTGTGACAACTTTACTATATGTGAAAATTAGAAAAAGTTAAATATAAGAAGCAAATAATAATAACTAATAAATCCTAAAATTTTAAGAAAAGTAGAGGAAATTCGGATATTTTTATTCTTAATGTCCAGGTTAAAGGTAATGACCTTGATCTTACCTTTCCTCTAATATTAAATGGGTAATTTTAATCTCACTGATACTATCACTTAGTGATATTGTCCTCTTCATTCTGTGAAAATTTCATTAATTTTTAAATACAAGAAATGTGAGAAGAATCCTACCTTAAACGCGGATCTAATAAGTACAATACAATTTTATCATTCTATAATTATGTAAAAGAATGTGACGGTGGAATGTTTGGAGGATCCTGCAGTCAGAAATGTGGTCATTGTTATGGTAAAACACAGTGTCATCATATCAACGGTTCATGTCTAGGAGGGTGTTCTGCCGGATATATTGGATCTCTTTGCAACAAACGTAAGAAAAACTATACCTTCAATGTTTAATTATGTTCCCCAAACGAAGTTGGGGAACATATTGTTTTTACTCTGTTTCTTATTAAGGTCTTCCGTTTCAGACGGAAGACCTTCTAGCGATTCTACTGTTTCTTTTTATTTTTTTTTCCCCTTTTCTGGTCAGAAAGATTTCTCAGAGATGGCTGGACGGATTTTCTTGAAATTTTCAGAGATGGTAGAGAATAAAAATACGCCCAGACGTTTTCTTCATTTTTTCAAAATTCACTTCCGGTCGTCAGATATGTCCGATTTCCGCCTCTTTCAAAATTATTTTGTCTCAATCATATCTCAGAAACGGTAAGAGATTAAGACACCAAACTTACAGGGATAATAGATCGTGATTAGTAGGCGAGCCCATTTGGGTTAAGATCGACCGCCGTCACTTCCGGTCGTCACAGGAAGTGATCAAAGAAATCGAAAATTTCAACTTTTCTTTTTTGAAACTTTTTTTGCATCACATTATAGCATCTTGTTTGTAGTTTCGAAATATATCAGTCTCACCGGAAACAAAAACGACAACTTCCGGTTATAAGAGAAAAACTGCATATTTTCAGTATTTTTCTTTCCCATAAATGTTTTTTATAGATGAAGCATTTTTAATCATTTTTGGATATGTTATTTAGACTGCAAATGACTACAGTAACGTCAAATATCTTTGTAAAATTCACTTCCGGTCGCGTGATTTCCTGTCCTCAAAATGAGAAGTTATCACAGCTAGATCTCGTCAACGGTAAGAGATTAAGACATCAAACTTATAAAAGTGGTAGATCTTGATAAGTAGACCAATTCAGTTGGGATAAGATTGTCAGCCGTCACTTCCGGTCGTCACAGGAAGTGATCCAAAAAATCAAAATTTTTAACTTTTCTTTCATGAAACTTTTTTTGCATCACATTTTAACATCTTATTTGTATTTTTGAAATATATCAGTCCGACCGGAAACTAAAACGACAACTTCCGGTTTTAAGAGAAAAACTGCATATTTTCAGTATTTTTCTTTCCCATAAATATATCTTATAGATAAAGTATTTGTCATGATTTTTGGATATGTTATTTAGATTGCAAATGACTACAGTTACGTCAAATATCTTTGTAAAATTCACTTCCGGTCGGGTGATTTCCTGTCCTCAAAATGAGAAGTTATTATAGCTACATCTCGTAAATGGTAAGAGATGAAGACAACAAACTTATAGGAGTGGTACATCTTCATGAGTAGGCAAAATAATATGAGTAAAGATTGTCGGTTGTCACTTCCGGTCGTCACAGGAAGTGGTTAAATAAATCAAAAAAATTTCAACTTTTCTATTATGGAACGTTTATTGCGTCACATTATAGCATCTTTTTTGCAGTTTCAAAATATATCAGTCCCACCGGAAATAAAAACGATAACTTCCGGTTATAAGAGAAAAAATATATGATTTGAGTACTTTCTTTCTAATATATATTTTTTATAGATGAAGTGTTTGCAACGGTTTTTGGTTATGTTATTTAGACTGCAAATGTCTACAGTAACATCAACTATCTATGTAAAATTTACTTCCGGTCGCGTGATTTCCTGTCCTAAAAATGAGAAGTTATCATAGCTAGATCTCGTAAACGGTAAGAGATTAAGACACCAAATTTATAGGAATGGTAGATCTTGATGAGTAGGCAAATCTATTTGGGTAAACATCGTCCGCCGTCACTTCCGGTTACCACAGGAAGTGATCAAATTAATCAAAAGTTTCAACTTTTCTTTATGGAATCTTTCGTCGTAATACATTATAGCATCTTATTTATAGTTTTGAAATATGTCAGTCCCAGTGGAAATAGAAAAGACAACTATGAGAGAAAAACTGCGTAAATTTAGTATCATACTATCCCATAGATACTTTTTATAAAAAGTGTAATAGAAATCATTTTAGGACATGTTATTCAGATTGAAATGTCTAGAGTAACTTCAAATTTCTTTTCAAAAAATGTACTTCCGGTCACTTGATTTCATTAAGTTAACATTACGAGATCTCTTAATCTGCAAGAGATCAAGACACTGAACTTACATGTATAATAAACCATAAAGATTGGGCACCAGATATAGGATAACTTGCGTCTGATGTCACTTTCAGTCGTCATAGAAAGTGATAAAAGAATTAATGAAAATGATTTTTGTAAATGTTATTAAGACTATAATTGTCTAAAGTAACGTCGAGAATCTTGGTAAGTTACACCTCCGGTCGTTTGTTTTCTTGAAATCATTTTAAATATTAGATGCCTTTTTAACATAGATAAAACCTCATTCATGCAGATAAATAGAGGAGAACGGAAGACCTTCTTTGTTGCTATAGCAACAAGAGTTTCTAGTTATTATGTTCCCCAAACGAAGTTGGGGAACATATTGTTTTTACTCTGTTTCTTATTATTATTATTATTTTTCTTCTCGGGAAAATTTTGTCCGCGAATGATCTTGTAAAGTACACATCCGATTAAGGGGAAACCTTTTTAGGGTAAGTAGGCATGTTATGTAGATTTGCGGAACGAAGGTCATTTTGCGCGCACGTGCTTGCAAGAGCGCGCACGTGCAACACGTGAAATGACCAATATACTTGAAATTGCCGTATCTTTTACATTTTTCGATGTAATGCTTTGATATTTAGAATATGTAGACATATTATAAATGTAGATAAGATGACATTGTCAAAATGCCATTTTGTGTGCACGTGCTTGCAAGAGCGCGCACGAGCAACACGTGAAATGACCGATTTAATTGATATAGACGTAAATCTTTACTGTTTTGATGAAATGCTTTGAAACTCATAATATAAGGATATAGTAGTAGCATAGACAATATGACATGGTCAAAATAGCAAGATCTCAAGCGCATGCACGTGCGCTTCGCTCTGATTGGCTGAAACTAAAGTCTCAATATCTTTCTTGGTGTTGGATGAAATCCTTTGAAATTTTGAACATAGCCATGCATTAGGATATCCTACAACATGATATATAGCAATTATCAAGAAAACACGTGCATGCACGTGTGCTGCAATCTGATTGGCTGAAACTTTAAATAGCTGTAACTCCCTTGGTTTTCAACCAAACGGGGTGGGATTTAGAACATAGATAGATGTAATGGACTTCTACAAGAAGGTATGTCACCATGCCCATGTATGCACGTACGTGCACGTGAAATGAGTAAAACCAAAAATACACTTGAATGAGCGTATTTTTTAATACTTTTGGATTAAATACTTTAATATTTAGTATATTAAAGTACATAGATTGTGTAGACAAGATGGTATGGTCATTACGCACATACATTCACATGCGCACGCGTGCAATGCTAAAATTTGAATAAACTTGGTACCCTTCTGGGTAAACGTTGTTAAAGTCTCAAATGCATAAAGTTTGTCTTATTTAATGAAGCTTACAGGGAATATGGCACCAAACGGGAGATGGGGAGCGTTTGGGGAACATCTGTAACGATCCCCGTTACAATTAGCACTAGTTATTATTATTTTTCTTCTTCTTCCTGGGTACTTTTTTGTCCGGGAGTGATCTTGTAAACTACACATCCGACTTAGGTAAAACCTTTTTAGGGTCAGTAGGTATGTTATGTAGAATTGCGGAACGAAGGTCATTTTGCGCGCACGTGCTTGCAAGAGCGTGCACGTGCACCACGTGAAATGACCGATTTAATTGATATAGGCGTAACTTTTCACATTTTTGATGAAATCCTTTGAAACTCATAATATAAGAATGTATTAGTAGCATAGACAATATGACATGGTCAAAATAGCAAGATCTCACGCGCATGCACGTGCGCTTTGCTCTGATTGGCTGAAACTAAAGTCTCAATATCTTTCTTGTTTTTTGACGAAATCCTTTGAAATTTTGAACATAGCCATACATTAGGATATCCTACAACGTGATTTATAACAATTATCATGAAAACACGTGCATGCACGTGCGTTGCAATCTGATTGGCTTAAACTTTAAATAGCTATAACTCCCTTGATTTCCAACCAAACAGGATGGGATTTGGAACATAGATAGATATAATGGACCTCTTCAAGAAGGTATGGTCACCATGCACATGCATACACGTGCATGTACATGTGCTGCAATCTCATTGGCTGAAACTTTAAACAGATATAAATCCCCTGGTTTTCAACCAAACGGGGTGGGATTTAGAACATAGATAGATGTAATGGACTTCTACGAGAAGGTATGGTCACCATGCTCATGTATGCACGTGCGTGCACGCGAAATGAGTAAAATCAAAAATACACTTGAATGAGCGTATTTTTTAATACTTTTGGATTAAATACTTTAATATTTAGTATATTAAAATATATAGATTCTGTAGACAATATGATATGGTCATTACGCACATGCATTCACACGCGCACGCGTGCAATGCTAAAATTTGAATGAACTTGGTACACTTCTGGATAAACGTTGTTAACGTCTCAAATGCAAAGAGTATGTCTTATTTAATGAAGCTTACAGGGGATATGGCACCAAAAGGGAGTTGGGGAGTGTTTGGGGAACATCTGTAACGGTCCCCGTTACAATTAGCACTAGTTAAGATCAGTATTATTTTTTCACAGTCATGTTAATAACATTTTCATTGTACTGCATGAAACGACAACTAAAGTGGTAAATACATGTGGCATATTTGATTTTCTGTGAATAGACCATGACATACACCTGTATAAAACGATACAAAAATTATAACAATTACATTTTTAAATGAGATTTACTAAATACAGAGAACTTTTTGGTAGAATGTGTGGTTGGGACATACGGATTGAAATGTAACAAAACTTGTGGACTCTGTTCTGATGGATCAAAATGTCACCATGTGAATGGTTCATGCGTAAATGGATGTTCTTCAGGATATAAAATTCCTCTCTGTATCACAGGTAACTGATTTACAGGGTTTAATTTTCACTTACATATATTTTGTTGCATTATCACACCAACTAATGATTTCATTCCTCTTTTAAGAATAAAGAGTGTTCTACTCTAAATCCTTTCATTACTTTCAAATGAAAGTACATTAAACAACAAACACACCATATGGACATAACAACGACACGCAGTAGCTTTATTTGTACAGTATACAGAACATATGCAAAGTATGAAATTACATCAATATGTATATATATACAAGTTTATGTTGGATTGAATAAATCATGATAAAATTTAAACTTTATCGTGCTCTACGTGTCGTCCTAAACTGGTATTTAAACCATTATTCACCTCTTATATAGCCTTGCTAACGAGACCGGTTCTAAAGAACCACGTGATATTCACCAGGTATTCGAATGAAAACCTTGTAATTCCAAATAAGTAATTCATTATCACACCAAGTAGAAATTGATTTCTGTATAACTCGTTCCTCAAACGAAAGAAATCATATAATACATGTACATATGATTATATTTCTTGCATTTATCAAACGTTCTGATATTCACGTGTTTACTTATTAATAATTCTTTAGGCGTGTTTAAGATATGATCATAAAAATATCAATATATTTTAAGAATGTGACCATGGATTTTTTGGCGACGCCTGTAGGGAGGCTTGCGGTCATTGTTTTAGTAACGCACCGTGTCATCATATCAGTGGTTCCTGTTTACATGGATGTTCTGCCGGATACCAGGGTCCTCTTTGTAAGAAAAGTGAGAATCAGGAATAATAAGTACACTTGCTAAAAACGAAAAAAAAGCTGTATACATGTACATGCCTGGATCATCTTCGAAATAATGTTTATTTGCTTAATTTCTCCTGTCGAATAATTGGATCACTTACATTCATGTTCTCTAACGCAATCTATGAAGCGTCAGATAATGATCATTTTCATACTGTTTAAACATTCAAGAAATCAGAAAAGCAAATTAGGCTTTCCAATGTGAAAAATTCATTATTAGAGTTGATATAAAAAAACATGCTTCTTATAGAATGTGACGGAGGAAAGTATGGATTGAAGTGTAACAAAACTTGTGGACCCTGTTCTGATGGATCACAATGTCACCATGTTAACGGATCATGTTTGAATGGATGTTCTCCGGGATATAAAAGTCCCCTCTGTATCATAGGTATTTCTTAATGATTTCTCGTCATTGGTCATTTGAAAAATTATTTTGTTAAAACAGATTCTGATTGCACACATAAGTACTCTAGAGTTGACATCAAGAAGATGCTTGAGTTTCTGATTGACAATATCTATGTGGATTTTGGAGACCAGGTATTCCAACAATCTATTGGAATTACCATGGGTACAAATTGCGCTCTGTTATTAGCAGACTTATTTTTATATTCATATGAAGCAGAATTTATGCAAAATCTTATGCGTGAAAAGAAGAAAACACTTGCTGTGGCCTTCAACTCGACATTTAGATATATCAATAATGATAATATCCATTCCTACATTGTTATGATATATCCTTGTGAGCTTGAGATAAAAGATACCACAAAGTCCGACACTTCTGCTTCATACTTGGATATTTTGCTTGAAAAAGACACTAATGGTAATCTAACAACCAAGCTATATGATAAACGTGATGACTTTAACTTTTCTATCGTCAACTTCCTTTACTTATACAGCAATTTACCTTCATTACCTGCATACAGAGTATATATATCTCAGTTGATTCGATACGCAAGAGCGTGCTCTACGTATGAACAATTTCTTAAACGAGGTAAATTATTGAAAAGCAAGTTGATGAAACAAGAATATCAACAGTCTCGTTAAAAGTCATCATTTCGTAAATTCTATGGTCGATACAATGACCTTGTCAGCAAATACAATTTATCATTGAGTCAAATGCTGACTGATGTTTTTCATTCCAATTGTTAGTCAATTATTTATACACTGAATTGACGATGGATTTTTTCCGTTATTTCCTGATCCTGACAAGGAGCACACGGCGGGTGTGACCAGTCGGCAGGGGATACTCTTTCCTCCATGGCACCTGATCCCACGCATTATTTCGCACACCATAGACTTTGATGCATAGTAAAAAGAAGACCATTTACGTTTTGAAAGCGTTCTTTCACTTAATAAAAAGAATGACAAAATTAAGAAATTACAGTTAAAAAATTTAATTACATTTTATGTTTCCGATATTGAAGACGATTTTTCAAATGATACGAACACTAACGTCGTAATAGAGTTTTCTTGAAGTTATGACTAAGTTTATCTTTTAAAGCTTATGAAAAGCTTAAGGTGACGCTATAAAAGCTCTTTAAGAATGGGTAATTTTTTGTAATAAAAGAAAAAAGAAAATAATTATGCTCTTGAAATTCTAAACAAAGAAATTCGAGAAATTCTCCAAAGCTTTTATTATATCCTTTGTATTCGCTATATATTGTAGTACACTATCAGAACAGGAAGATTCGTTAAGATGACTTCTCTAAAAACAGGACAGTAGAATTTTTGTTTCTTATATATAAATATGTAAAATATTTTAATAGTATTTCTCATCGTATATTATGGTTTGATCAAAAAGTCTATAGTAGTCTTCGTATAATTTGATTTAAAGTGCGAAAAATATACATTTTCCTATATAGCCTAAAGTAAGTGTACCCCTATTTAAAGACCGTCACTGAAAATACCTGGACGGTAACTTAGCATGCATACTGAAGTCAAAATAGAGAGTTTCTCTATTTCACTTTTTATGCAAAACAAACTCCAGTCGGCTCCCGCAACAAATGATTTTATTGCACTGTTAGGGATACATGTATATAGTAAAAAAAAAGTATTTTAATAAGCGTGTTTATAATTCTTCACTAAAAAACTATTTCAAGATGTGTTTTGGATTTGATCATAAAAATAACAATATCTTTAAGAATGTGACAATGGATTTTTTGGCGACGCCTGTAGGCAGACTTGCGGCCAGTGTCTTGGGAACCCACCGTGTCATCATATCAATGGTTCCTGTCCACAAGGATGTTCTGCCGGATACCAGGGTCCTCTTTGTAAGAAAAGTAAGAATTAGGAATATTTGGTACACTTGCTAAAAAATGTAAACATGGGGCAAACTTTAAAATAATGTATGCTTAGCCTCTCTAGACTCAGTGTAAAAATATTTCGTCGTTAGGTGGGGAAAATCTTTTTTCAAGAAAAGGTTAACATATTTGTTGACAAAATATTCAAACAAACAATATGGATGTTATTTTGCTTGTTTAATGTGGCGCTTCTGGCCGCGGTGATCCATTTGCTGGGGCTACCACAGGGCTGCCCCACAATCAACAATCAATACAATAAATGTGACGACCCAAATCGGGCGGATCATGCACTGGGTAGGTCACAAGTGCATGAACGTCACCAATGCAATAATCAATCAAATTCAATCAATCAATTATTAATCAATCAGTCAATCAATCCATTCCAATATCAATCAAGTTAATTACTTGTCAATCAATCAATTATTAATCAATCAATAAATCAATTCAAATATCAATCAAGTCAATAAACAATGGAATGAGCATGAATATGTGTTGCACTCGTCCAGTTGCGTTGAGGTGCGACGGAATACGCAAACACTTGGAATTTCAACCGCAACAAGGCTGAAGTGGACGCTATCCCAAACAGGCAGTCATCACGGTATAGGTAAAACAGAGACCTCATCACCGCGACATTGGTTGATGCAGACGCAATCCCCAACAGGCATTCATCACGATAAAGGTAAAATAGAGACCTCATCACCGCTACGTTGGTTGATGCGGACGCTGTATCCAACAGGCAGTCTTTGCAGAACACGCAATCATACAGAATTCACTAATGCAACACAAGTTGATGAAAACGCTGGACGAAGCAGGGCACCATTAGGGAATATTGGAGCACACGATTATCACTGCAACATAGGCTGTTGTTGACGCTGGGCCAAGCAGGAAGTCTTCAGCTACAATGACATAACAAGAACAGCAGTATTTGTTCTAAAACAAGAGGAGGGTGGGTGGGGAAAATTAAAACATTGCAACAATTCAACTTCACAAAATTTTCCATGACCTTACCGTTTTATTGATTTATCGAAAAAGGAAGAGGAGGAAACAACTAAATTTTAGACTAGTATATGTAAACGGACCTAAATTATCCGGATTGATAGGTTGGAACTAAGGGTTTATAATTATATATCTGAAAGGGACTTAAGATATCCGGAATGGAGGGACATACGGTTACTGAAATAAACTCACCTATCCGAGACCAGGCTCATATAAGTGGTATTGTATAATATTTGATCATGTAGGATGTATAGGTTTTTTTTTAACAAAATCAATTCCGACTCCAACTTTTAAAGGTATTTCCTTTTATATCGTATTGAGATAAATTCACAAATAGTACAAAATGAGGTATCTTGCTGAGAAACAGGGGTGTTGAGAGAGGACCTGACTTGCAAAACAGAGACGAATATAATAACTCTTTTCCTTTTTGGTGGACATCAGGTTATGTAAGATGAAATCAAATTAATTAGTTACACAAATGTGTTAATAACTATAATCTAAGAGAGGTCAATAGGGTTTTAATTGACAGAAACCGATTGTTTTTAAACATTAATGCCTATATGCCATTTAAACGAAAAGTGGGTCAGTGAACTGAATAGAGTAAATAATGCCAAAGTCAAAGGTTAGCAAAACGCAATAATTCCTACGATTATTAGCCTTTTCATATTAATCCCCCCTTTTTTTGGCAAGTATATATCTTTCTCAATTCTTATATTCTAAAATCAGAATGTTACAATGGAACATTTGGACCTCGGTGTAAATCACACTGTGGAAACTGTACAGATATGGAGGATTGTGATCACGTGACCGGATATTGTAAAGGAGGTTGTAAAGATGGATCAAAGGGAAATAAATGTGACACAGGTATGAAATATCATTCATTTAAAAAAACATTTATCCTTATAGTGCGTTTTTAAAGCATTCATTCAAAAAACATCCTAGTAATTCGTTTATCACATTAAACAGTCTAAATGGCAATTGTTTATTAATATCCATGATTCAAATTATGAATATTCAATGTCATTGTCATTGATTTGTTTAATTAAAATTGTTTTAAACTTCGTTATCACATTTATAGTATCTTTATTTCTGTTTAAACAAACACAGTTTGTCTTGATGGCACCTATGGTTCGAATTGTACGGAAAATTGTGGAAAGTGCAGAGGTCCCAAGAGTTGTGACAAGGTGTCAGGGTTTTGTTTGAATGGCTGTGAGAATGGATATTTCGGAGAAAAATGCATATTACGTAAGTATTCTAATCGACTTTTGAAATAGCAAGCTGGGTTAATGATATTAAAATATATGAAATCAGCATTTCAAGGCCAACCATTTTAAGCACGTCGACAAAAAATGTCAATAATAAATTAAACTTTTCTACAAAAGAGAATGGGTATCCCTTGGCGGGAAAGGAGAGGAGAGTTGCAAAATGAAAGATAATATTCATTATTCTATTTCATATGAAGAATGTCCCAATGGAAAATATGGATACATGTGTAATTCATCCTGTGGAAATTGCAAAGACATAAGAGATTGTGACCATGAGACCGGATATTGCAATGGAGGTTGTGCTGCAGGATCAATGGGCGTGAAATGTGACGAAGGTTCTGTTTTAAAAATGCCACACAATTGAGTGTAATGTTTTTGTATTTGCTATTTGAAAGATTTTATATCATCGTTTTTCCCAAGGATTTAAATTTTTTTGCATCAAACCGTAATCTTTCAGAATGTCCCTTTGGATTTTACGGGGAGGAATGTTCTGAACGTTGCAATCTGTCTTGTGGTTATAAATCTGGACAGCAAAGTATATCAGGTTGTACAAATTCTACCGATTACATTTAAAATTTCATAGAGCACAAAGATCCTACCAGGTGTACGAAAGTTTATTTTGTTATTATAGTTATAATTTTTTATCTTCTTTATATAACTTTATGTTAGAATCCGTTTTCAATAAGAATAGGTCCATTGCAGTCTTCATTTAAAAATATGCAGGAAATCCATCACATGAAATATTGCTTAGATTCTTTTACAGAATTGACTAGTGAAATCGTTATAAGCATTGCCAGACTGTATCGATTGTGTTCTTGGACACTATTCGTATAATGGTCAAACGCATGTACATGTAACCCATGCAGAAAAAAAAAATGTTTGTCTCTAGTCCGTAATTGTTTTGTATTGCAGTATATGAATCGGTTAAAAGTCGTAATATAGTCCCAGTAGAGTGAATTTAGGAAAACATGAATAGTTTGTTTGTGATATGTGAGATGAAGCATCATAAAAATAAAACATGAAATTGACTGCATGATATTACTACTGTTGTTAATGAAAGTTGTTAAATCTCTTGTTTTTCCCTTAAGGTCAGACATGGAATATTATTTTGTCTTATATGTAAAATCATTGTTTTTAAAAGAAGTACTTTTATTTGTATCTAACAAAAAAGGTAAACATTTGAAATATTGATCACAGGGAGATTTCATTGTTTGAATTTTTGCTGAACTGTTCTAACAAATTGTAGAGAAATATAAAAAAAACGTTAATAATGAGATTGTTTTATTTTATCAGAGGAGACAAACACCTTTAAACTTACTTCTGCAGATGAAAACAAAGATACCGTGTATGCTTTGGGAGCTACACTGACACTTTCCTTGCTAGTGAATATTCTATTTGCCGCAATGTGCTTTATTAGGTATGTTGTTCTCGCAAACATTGTAGAAAATCTAATCCTTAAAAGAAAGTTTTAAAAAGCATTTACGAATAGTTTTCAATAAAATAAGATGTTCATGTTCGTAAAAGAAATGTTTCGATTATTTTTCCATGATTTTCTTGTCTGTAGATTTCTTTTGAAAAGAAAGGATGAGATTAACGGTAAACCATCGCCGATGTATGTAAACGTAAGCGGAAGACTTAGACAAGACAATCGACCTTCAGAAGAGATGGAGTTGGACCAACAAAACGTGCAATATGAGGCTCTCGCGGCCCCTTCCCAGGAAAATCATTACGATGCCTTACAATAAAGAATGCCTAAAATTGACCACATTGTAAAATTAGTTACATGTATAATTAATAACAGCTATAGACGATTTTCTACATCTTCAGCAGAGAACAACTGGATTACAAAATATATTAAGGAATAAGCTTCTATCGGAAACTTACATTGAAAGTTAATATTAAGGTCAGGCGAGACGTTCCTCAAAATCTGTTTTGTATATCTTCGTAATGTATGAAAAATATTCAAAATTTTAATAACATTCTGATTTCTAAACCAGTTTCTAACCGTTTTTAAATAATCCAAACACTCAAACATTTGAAATTGGAAAGTTATTTTTCTTCCCCACAGTATTATATAAGAAAAACTACCCCTGGTATCTTGCAGAAATGCCTGGTAAGGTACCTCAATTTTTTGTGAGTAAACATGTTTAAGTAACAACACTTCAATGACAAACTCTTAGAAAAAATTATCTATTATAAAGGAACGTCTGTCCTTAATGCTGATAATTTTTCTGACAACAACGAATAGTCTGTGTATTCTTTTGAAACTAATTTTCTTTATTTCAATATATCTGAGTATTAAGATTTTCTCTCTCTTCTCTCTGTGTTTTCTCTCTGAATATTGAAAAATGTTTATATCTGTAACATGTTATATAAACTGTAAAATCACATATTTTCGTGGGGTCAAATTTTTGAGGGTTGAGAAAGAAATATCGGTTTGTTGGAATTTGGTTTCAAGGTTAGAAAAGGCTGAGTATGAATGCATATGAAATTATATATTTCGAAGCTGTCATGTATTCGAGGACCTCTCCATACCTAGAAGTTAACGAAAATTACAACCCCATGCACACACACAAATAACAGAATCACATTTTTTCAAAGAGAAACAGAAATATATTAATGCATATGAAAATTTTATTAACTTTTTCTATTTTCTACAATTAAAAATGAATGTATACATCCATCGATGCTACTTATTGCAGAATGTGCAATGTAAGCTTAAAAGTTTTGTAAAGATCTAATTTATCCCATTTTTTTTACTTTTTTCTGATTAAGTTTTAAGTAATCATTCAAACATATTGTTATATGGGGGATTGGACCTTTGAATATTGCATATCAATCACAGGCTGATGGTGGAGTGTTATTTTTAGTGATGTAAAGTAGCATCCAGTTGTAAATTTATTAGAAATGTTTTATTTTTCATGTTATTTCAATATCTTATCGTTTACTTCAGTTATTGGTACAATACACATTACACTTCGACATTGTTGTGTAAACAAATGCTGCTTTTGTATTACTAGACAATCTAGCGAGATATTGTTGAACAGACAGTAGGGAACAATGATACTAAGATGTTATATGTCAGTTTTTCATCATTATCTACCATATTACGACTGTAATTTACTAACGTATTTCAGCATTATCACATGTGTTGTAAATTGGGCGCCTGCCATCTTTCTTACGAAGAAAATAGCCATGTGATATCAACATTGTTGATTTACAATCGATAAGATCGAAATAACACTGTCCGTGTCGTCAAATTTTATAATTGATAGTTAAATGTTATTTTATTGCAGTATTGAACCATCATTTAATTATGTTTTATTTAACGAAATGTTTTGGAACTTGAATGTGTAGCGTAATACTTAAAATTAATGCAATATTTAAAAATATTCTTCTTTACTCCATGGACATCAAGCAGTCAAACTGTTTTATTTTAATCAGCAATGAGTCCTCTACCAAAATTGTGATTTTATTATGTATCAGGGGTTCTAATAGGGCGGGGCTATATATATATATATATATATAGTAAAATGCATTATTATATCTTTGAAAAACTTCTTCTCTGCTCCTGGGTATTAAATAAACTAACTAAGTACATAGTTATGATGAGCAATAGTGCCTCTACCAAAATTGTGAATTTTATGGCCCCAGGATTGGTTTTGTTTTAGGGTGGGGCTCAAATGATTATATAGTGAAATTGCATGAATATATATATATATATATATATATATATATATATATATATATATATATATATATATATATATTTATATTTTCAGTTTTACAAACGCTCAAGGTTTTGAATTTTTAGAATAAAAAAATATAAAAATTTTTTTCTTTCCGATGTCAAATTTGAGTCGGGAGAGATTTCAAATTTAACGAACTCGCACTTCCGGTTTTCAAGAATCACTGAGAAGATAGCTTGGTTTAGTGTAAAATTCATCGATACGAGTGCCATTCAAAACGTTTCACCCGTTCAAAGGACAAATAAAATGCTGACGACTTTGTTGCACAATTAACATACTGGTGAGATAATTACTGTATTCGTTTCAAAAGTATCTGTCTGTAAATTATTTTGGCCCCAGGTTTTAAACTGCCCGTGGTAGCTATAGGTTGCATATTGTTATATTTCAGCGACATTGTTTATGTCTCTGTGAAATAGCTTACAGAGAAGCATGAATTCTTTAGAAAATGGTTGCTTATGTATCAGATGTAATGAATAAACTAGGGAGAAGTTAGGTCCATTTGAGGAAGAAATAAACAATAACCTGTAGAAAACAAGAAATAAAAAAATTTGATTAACTGAATTGTCTATTAAAAGGCAAGAATATACAAATATATACAGGCATGTAGTATCATTTGTATCAGCTAGAAAAAATATTTTACACAGGTCCAGAAAAATACACTTACACTTAATTAAAAAAAATGTTCACACTACTCCCCAATACTCCCTGTCTGTTTTATGATATGAATTATAATTTTATGCATCAAGTAAATTTTAGAACAATGTCTACACATTCACCTAACACATATTAAAAAAAATGAAGATATATTGAAAGACTTTTAAAGAATTGATTTTTAAAAATATATTTTGACCAACATCACAAAATTTATATAACTGGCCCAAACTGGCAGATGATGAAATAAGCAATTAAATGTTAACAATATGAGAGACTTTCCTATTTGTAAGCATTATGTGTCCAGTGGTATTAGGAGCCTATTAGAATAGCATAAAAAAAGAATGTACAAATGTTAATAATTGATTTATCCAAAAAAAATTTTATTTCCTTCTCCTTCGGGACTTTTTTTTTCTCATGTTCATAACTAAACCTAAACAAAAAAAAAATGCTGGCCTTATAATGAAGAAAAGGGCCTCTTTCAAAATAGATAATTTCAGGGACGCTGGGTCAGGGATACCAGAGGGGTACTTTGACTAAAAATAAATTAATGCTTTGAAATCTGCCCTTTGATAAGCAATGGTGCCTTCTTCAAAATTTGTGAATTTCATGGCTTTTGGATTAAAACGCAAACCAAATACAATCGCTGGAAAGTTGTTACATGATATTCAGGTGACCTATAAGGCCCGTGGGCCTCTTGTTTAAATTAATTTCCGTTATTTTGTCCAATTATTAACTACTTAAGCTTCAAATTTGCGCTTAAGAGTAAAAAAGAATCCCCTACATATCTAAATGTTTTTTTATTTTTCCTGAGCCGGGAGAGGACAAGTTTCAATTAAAAAAAATGGCATGATTGGTATTGCTTTTTTTTTAAGAATGTGACGGTGGTTTAAACTGCTCCAAGACATGTGGTCACTGTCGTGACGACTCACAATGTAATCATATCAATGGAACTTGCTTTACAGGATGTTCACCCGGATACAAGGGATCGTTCTGCATCAGTGGTGATTTATATTAATTAATCTTTATTTCTTATTAAAAACAAAAATCAGGCATGAGCACTTTATACACTAAAACATGTTCCAAAACATATCAAAAGTAAAATGTCAATATTATCTAAATTTTAATGTACTTTCTGTACATAATTCCTGCGAAGATAAATATGTATCTAGAAGTAGCAACACACAAATATTTTTGAACGAACTTTTCTCAAAATATGCCAGTGTTAATTATAAACTTCAGATCAATGCCTTTAAAACTACTCTATACTTAATATATATATTATACACAGCTGCAGAAAATCAAAGGATCTAAAATGAAATTTTATAATGAATTTCCTGATTTATATTACTTAGAATGTAATGGTGGAATGTATGGTGTAAACTGCAGTCAGACCTGTGGAAACTGTCTTAATGATTCACAGTGTCACCATGTTAATGGTACCTGTTTACAAGGGTGTTCAACTGGATACAAAGGATTGCTTTGTACACAGCGTAAGAAACCTTCTTTCATCATTCTTTAAAGTAGTTCTTCACTCGCACTACGTCATTTACGAATAGTAGAACCGGAACCGCGCTTCCCTTTTCCGAGATGTGATTTTTTAAACTATATTGGTTTCACTTTTACTTAGCGTTTTAAATATCCTGTAACGATTTTGCTCCAAGTCGCTCGCGTCAACAAACGTACAAACACTACAGTTTTAAGGATAAATTAATTAAAAAGAGAAGGCTGGGAAAAACTTTGGGTTGACAGAAATAATTAGTTAATAATATGATATTTCTGTGAGTGATGCATGTTCTATATGCCTCTCCGATAACACGGACCACGAACTTGCTACATCAGAACATGTATGATTTGTATCATACTAAAAAAAACTGTTGTCGGCGGCCAAGTTGAAGTTAATAGTGATAATTCGGAAGAAAAGTAATGACTACGATTTGACTTAGACAATATATAAGTTTTAGTAATCAAACGTTACAAAATTTACTTTGAATAATAATAATATTGTATAAGACGCATACCCCCCCCCCCCCTCCTCCACTTGCTTACCCACGAATTAATGCAAAATTATCTTTTGAATAGAAGTATATGACAAATGTTGATTCACTGGCAGCATACTTACTTTCCTGTAACAAAATTATCCACTATATGTGAGAATCAGTCAATCACTTTCATTTTCATTGTCTCCAATTTACAGACAAATGTGTTTTAATCAAAGAGTAAAATAAGATAAATTTTAGTGACAATAGGTATTGGGTGTGTATAATTATTGTTTTAAATATGTACAACTTTGTTTATACAAATATACACTCCAAATGTAACAGTTTTACAGGAAAATAAGGCAATATATTACTTCTGGAATATGGAAATTAGGGGGGTACCTTTAGTGTAGAGCTCATACCACGAAAGGTAATGCGTCAACATATAATTTTTTTAAGCTTAAAAATCTTTTTCTTAAATATTATTTAGTAAAAATAATACAATTTTACGAAGTTTGAGTCCATGATTTTTTTTCAAATGACCGAGATTGACCTGTGAAGCATATTATCTAATATTAAATTTTAATACGTTAGCCTAACAAAGTGCATCTATTTATAATAATTCATGCAAAAAAATGATTATATATTGTTGACTAACATATTTCTACTCTCTTTAGGGTATTAAAGTCGAATATTTAGACTTGAATCCAGTTAAATACAACAAGATCTAGAATAGGTAAATTTTCACTATTTTACATTTCGGGGTATATATTCCGATAGGCATTAGCGGAAAAGTAAACATGTTGACATATTATTTTTCTTGTATCTATCCATTGCTGGGATGTATGTCTATCTTTTAAAAGCAGATTTTTTAAGATTGAGCCCATTTAGTGCCGATTATAGAACTAACTTAAATTTAAATTCTTTTAATTTATTTTATTCTTTTCAACACTTTATTTTAAGATTACCGTATTTCGTTTCCCTTTTGAAATGTTGATTTTCACCATATGATCAATGAATAGGGATCATATCAAAAAAGAATAATGACTACTCTATTTTTGTATATAAACAGAAATGTATTTCGTCGATTAATCTCTTTTCCCGCAGTCTTAGACATTGATTATAAATCAAAGCGATAAAGGTCTGTAGAAATTCAATCATACGTATTGACTGTAAACCACTTCAAACTCAAATTGAAACATAAGTATGAGATCATCTTTTGTTTTTTTTAACAAATACTCATTTTTTTAGTTATTTCACTTGACACTGCCCAGAAATGAAGAATAAATATAAGACTGCCGTCATGAGAAAAGGGCCCTTATCTTTTGACGTCACAATGCTCAGAAAACGACGTCAAAGTTGCGGTATGTAAACACGGAAAAAAAAAAAATGTCAACTGCGTTTCGTGACCTAGAAATAAAATTGGATTTCAAAGTGTAACAAAAATTTGAAATTTGATGCGGACATTTTTAATAGGTATATAGTATGATATTATTACTATCTAACTCATGAATTTCTTCATAATCCTGTTAAAGTATTTTAACTTGATGTTGATATACGCGACATTGGACATGCACATTGCTAGGAACAGCGATTAAAACGATTTCTTTTCATGACTAAATTAAAGATGCTGCATATTTGTTTTTAAGAAATTTCCAAATGCATAAATTTTAATTCATGTTAAGAAGTCTTAATATTAAAAGGTATATTCCATGTATATTCCATGTATATTTTTTTAAAGAGAGAGAGAGAAAGAGCTAGCGAGAGGTCTATGCACTTGTATTATTACCGTTCTTATAAGCGCTTCTTTTTTTCTGAAAAAAAAAACATAACCTCTCTTTGACTGGATATATATTCTGGTAACATGGGAGATGCAATTAAACCTTCTACATCAACAATAAATGATTCTTTACTAAATCAACAGTAAGAGAATATTTTAATATTATTTGGAAATTGAATTAGACGTCACTACGTTTTCAGCGAGTAACGTCAAAGTTATTTCAGAGGCGCGCCTTACTAAAATGCCTATAAAATACTGAAAAAGTGAGATATTTTCAAAATTTATGTATATTTGCATTCAGAAAGAGTTCGGTTATCAAAATTTACCAAAAAGTAGATTTATGAAAATTTGACCTTAAGGGCCTTTTTCTCGTGACGGCAGTCAATTAATGTTAATTTGTATTGACAAATATTTTTTAATGTAAATTAGGCACATTAATCTATTTGTCAATATTGTTAGGTAAATAATTGTTTATAGGAAGAACATTTTGTGTAGAATACAAAATATTTTTTAAAAAATATTGTTCTGTCGAATACAAAATATTATTTCATAAACATTGTTCCATTGATTTTATGTAACTTTTATATGTATATAAAAAATTACTCTTTTAAACTGTTCAGGCAATTATAATAGTACACATAAGCTTGTAAATGTATTTGCATGGATTTTCTTTTTTGTATTTCAAATTTCTGAGAAAGTAAGAAAAGCAACAATTAAATGAATTAAGGCTGTTGTAAAAAAAAAATGAATCTAATCTTTCGAAACTTTGCCCCATTTTAAATGACGGACTAAAATATGTCGATTAAAAACCCTGTTTTAATCTTCAGGAAATAATATTTCTTAAATCAATTCCGGTTTTCCATCATATTATCACACCCTCGCTTTAGATGCGTTTGCTTGTCGGAGAGCCACTATGGTGACTATTGGGAAATGAAGATGAAGCCGCCTTACGATTTGCAGACCTTTATTTCTCGTTGGGTCGGATAGTATCAGGGACGTGTGCGTCCGGATTCCAACTCTCCAATTGCTTAGAAAAATTTGTATTTATAGACATAAATGTTATTTGATGATTTTGAGTAACATATGACATGAGTTACTTGATTTACAAGTAGATTTAAAGATTATGATTCCAAATACAGTAAAATTACTTTTTCATGGGATCAAAGTTTCATGGTTTGAGTAAAAAGTCTTGGTTCGTTGGATTTGAATTCATTGATGAAGAATTGTCGAGTAGTTACATGTATGTATGTAACATTTTCATTTCGTGGTGGACATGAATTCGTGGGTATCTCCATACCTCTAAACAACATAAATTAAGCTCCCACGACAATTTGTGAATTCATAGTTAACAATAATTAAGTCACACAAAGCACAGTCCACCTGGTTATATCATTCATGGCTCATTAAGATAATGAAACATTCAAAATAGATAAATCTGATAGATTGAATCAATTATGACAACTCATTAACCCCTTCACTTCCGTACCGGTCAAATTGACCGGTGGCGCGTTAAAACACGACTTCGCGAAAATAAGATATCCGCATTTATTTTATGGTAGCATGAAGGTATATAAACTATATATCACCTTTTTTGAAATTTTCTCTACTTTTAAAATATCTAAAAAGATTTTGTCTTGATTGCCGGTATTTAATCGATTTTATGTTGTGAAGACAAACGTGACTTTTTGAAAATGGCGTAATTTTCCAAAGCAATTGCCGATTTTCCAGACGATTGACATTTTTTTCCTGATTAACTTTTTAAAGAAAGTATGATATATTCTTAAAGCATATTTTCCCCGTTTTTAAAATATGTAAAAATTATTGTTATTACTTTAAAGTATGTTTTAAAAACAAAAATTTTCTTGCACTTATGTGTTTTTTCTCGATTTTATTCGTAATGTTTAAACAAAGCTCAGTTTTACGTTTATTTCTGTATTGAAATAGGGAAAACAAAATAAAGCTGGTAAAAGTAGAGAAAATTTTCTTTCCAACAAGCCCTTACAGGCCTTCTTACGCTCAGTATTTTCTTAATTACGATAATTTGAATTTGTGACCTTCGCATAGTTTTTATGGAAAATTCGGTCAATATTTACATGTAACGTCAAGGTCGATATTGTTGTGTCTAACTAGCTCGAAACAACAAATTCTTTTATAAGACTTTTTGACCATTTAGATATATTTTTTACTGAAATAAATGCATAATACAAAAAAAAAAAAGATTTCAAAAACAAATATATACTATCGTTCTGCAATTTGTGCGAAGTGAAAAGTTAATTTATTCATCTACATGTAATGATGTATATTTCAAGTAGTGATTTATATACAATGTTGATAAAAATTGTAGATTCCCTAAACGTCGATCTTTACATAAAAAAATCAGATTTTTAATATTATTGTATCTTGTTATACTGTATTCTAAATTTGCAATTTAATTAGATCTATATTGGCACGAAATTTAACAATACAAAAACTCGCATTTATAAATAAATACGACTCATCACTGTATGAGTTGATACGAATTGAAATAACCACGTGTTTCCGCTATGGCAGCAGTGAACAACATGATGGCGATCCGAAATCTGAACGTCAATTTTCATGATTATTTCACGACGAAGATCATCACATCAATGAATCAAATAATACGGACATGCCTTTGGTATTAGCAGGTGAGAATACGACGTCCAGATAACATTTTTTTTTCAGTCTAGGAAATAGGAAAAAGTCACAAGTACCTAAGTCAGGTGTACATTGACTGAATAGTTTAAGTTTAAAACGCACTTAGTTCACGTTCAAAAGAAAACTAAATGTACACATGTATTAGATCTTCATATTTCAGTGTGCGTATTTCGTATTGTTCAGCCAATTTTGTTTTGCTTTTGAAATTTGATGCTTTTGACAATCACTCGAAAGTTCAAAGTAAAATCAAAATTGCCATAATAATGGATAGTTGTTTTCAGTATGTGTGTACCAGTCAGCCAGTGTGTACATATACCACTTTCACATTGAATTTTTAGGGTGCTGGCACCATATGCAACAATACTTTCATCTGTGAATACCCACTTGCTAAGCCCACCATGAACTACGAAGGCCAATTAATATGTAAGGACACCAATGAACAGGTAAATTTTTGTTTTGATATTGAAAATTTCTGTATTTCTAAAATTTCAAAAAATAAAGTCAAATTTCATTTGTGTCATTCTCATGATATTGTATTTATACAAGTTTATAAACATTTGCTTTATATTTTGAGAAATAAGTGTTTGAAAAACATAATACTTATGATGCTTGATTATTCATACAAACACATTATTTAAACACATAATATCTAGTTAAATGAATGCCGAGATATATGGAACAAGCTCTTTTTATAGACTGCTGTTGTATTTCCAATCTGCATAAAGTATGTGGTTAGAATTTCCATTTTCTCAATTTTTTCAGACACTCACCAATTATCGTACATCATATACATGGGTGGTCAAACTCACTGGATGGTTTATCAACACTCCCATGCTCACGAACAGCCTTGCCCCAGGAAATTTGCCCTGAAGTAACATTGCAGTCTATTGTCTCCTTTCTTTTTACAACCCTGGCAGCCATGCAGGTATGCAATCTATGAAAGCCATGAAGGGACATAGAATTTTTAAAAATTTATAAAAGTAAACGGAGTTCTCGATTTATACAATCCATTCTCTCGGAATGACAATCTGTTATAATAAATTGCCAATTCATTTTCACAGATTCTCAATTTGTTCCCTCAAATTGCACAATCCGTTATCTCAGATTGTATAACTCATTCTCCTAGTTTAAATGATTCGTTCCCTTGGAATGTAAACCCTTCCCATGATTCCAATAAAATTATTATTTATCTGTACATATCGGATATGGTAATATATGTTGAAAGAATAGAATATTGTAGTATTTTACATCCTACCTTTTATTACCCGGTACATATTATGGTCCAAAATGAAAAAAATACATGAACATTTTCAAATCCATATGCTAGTACTGATATTTGTTGATCAAAAAATCTTTGAGGTTTTTGTGTTACGTGTATATTAGAATAATTGAAAGTCCTAAATAGTAAAAGTGAATATGGGTCCTGTGTAATCATAATATTTCTAAAATAAATATACGTTGAATTAGTTATGAAAGAGGTTGGAAATGGCCGGTTGCTGAAACAAAATAAATAGAACGCACAAATTGATTAAAATGGTTGGATGTATCTGTACATATATGTAATGAAATTAAAGAGCACAGAGAAAATCAGAAGACTGACGTTGTAACAAATCGAGATCTCGAATTATTAATCTGTGAAAACGAATTGCAAATATTTGTCAGTTCTTGCCCCTTACTGTACTATAGGTGGCGCACGACACGCTAAGGTTCATATTTACTTCCGGTTTCGATTCGATTTCGCTTAGTTTCTAAACTATTTTGAAAGTTCGTCAAAATAAACATCCAATGCCTACTTGCTGTTGCGTGCCTGGTTGTTCCACGAGAGGAGGATTAAGTTTCCCAAAGGAGGAGAAGATAAAAAAGCTGTGGATTCGAGCCATTCGAAGAAACGATGAGGATATTGCGTATAAACATTGGACGCCACAGCCATTCAGTGTTGTGTGCCACAAACACTTTCGTGAGGAAGATTTCACCTGCGAAACACAGCACGGTTAGTAAGATTATATGACTTCATTTGTAGTTGCATTTAAATATTTTATTAATTAATAATAATTTGTCTGTAAATCATAACAGCTGTGTAATAATAACGCGACGGACACACAAGAGAATTTTGAAACGTGTATATCAAAGTCAAATACAGTTTTAAAAATACAGCGAAAAGTTAAAGACTTCATTGAAATTATTTCCCTTAAATGACCAGCCATACTGAGAAATTTGGCAGAAAGATAATTAAATGCTTTTATCAGTTTATATCATATGCAGACCTTATCAATTTATCAAAGCACAATATTTACTTCTGTTACACATGCTCATAGCTGAGACTGAAACGAATCACTGAAACAGCTGATATGACTAAGAATTTCAATATTTTTTTTTTTTCATTTTCACATTTGCATGATTTATTACTTATTATATCTGTTTATTTTTTCATGTTGACAAGTGCTTTTCTTTTCCATTCCCAGTGCAGTATCCTGGTTTTAAACGGTTTGATATTATCAAAATGTGCGATGGAGTGGTCAAACTTGTGAAATATATATTGAAAAATACCAAGTTTGCTATTTCATGGCTATTTTGTTATGTCATAATTCATCAAGATGTTTCAAGGAATTAGAGTCATTCTACAGTCATGCTCTTTTGGAAGCTCCTGATGAGTGGATGAGGAAGACACCATTGGACACGATAAGCATTAAAATACATATATCTTTAATATTAGTTTTTATCTGATTGAATTGAAATATTTTAACATCTCGGAATCTGAAATATCATGTCTTTTTCTTCCGAAACATTTTTATTATTAAGGTCACAATTTTCTTTTTGATAATTTGATAGGCACTGAGCCACTAAGGAGGCAAAGAAAACCTGAGGCAGTCCCTTCCATTTTCCCCTGGACCAAGTCACCATCTATTAATTTTGATGAGAGGAGCAAAAGAGTAGTGGCCCGCCGTGCCAAAATGGAGAAAGGTGACCATGAAAATTCAGAAATGGTTTCAGATGATTGCAATGTATATGAAGTGGGCAACAGTGTAGAAGTGGAGGGATGAAAAGTTTAGCCCTAGTGATATTAATAATATTGATATAAGTGCTACTGTTGCACCTCTTTTTATAGATTCATCAAGTCAAACAGCAAAATTGCCAATCATGTGTATTGAAAATTTCATGTATGATGATGAAGGCATCATGTTTTATACAGGGTTGAGTTCCTACACAGACTTTTTACATGTACTGTATAGTCTTGGTGAAGCAGCCTTTCATCTCAATTATATTTATAATCAGGTGCAAAATATGTCCATTGAAAATTAGCTCTTTTTGACACTGATTAAGTTGAGGCAACATAAGCCCAATTTTGAATTAAGTAGATTATTTTCAATATCACAAACAACTGTTGAGAATGTTTGGATTACTTGGGTAAACTTTATGTCGAGACAGTGGAGGGAACTAAATTTCTGGCCCGAAAAAGATCTGGTCACCTTTTTCTCTCCATCTGATTTTTACAGTAAATTCCCCTCTACACGAGTACTACTTGATGGAACAGAAATTCCTGTAAAGAAACCTAAACCCCCCATTGCCCTGCAAGCAACCTTCTCTACGTATAAAAATAGAAACACTGTCAAAGTACTCGTAGGCTCATCTCCAGGGGGTTTAATTTCATATGTGTCTCCTGCTTATGGAGGGTCTGCTAGTGACAGACAGCTTGTTGAACGGAGTCCTTTGTTAAGTGCTGACTTATTTGAACCTGGTGATTCTCTTATGGCAGACAAGGGATTCAATGTACAAGATCTATTTGCTCCCAAAGACGTAACTGTAAACATTCCATCATTTTTTAAACAAAAAAAACAGAATGTCTGGAAAGACAGTTTTGCGTGATCGCAAAATCTCTAGCAAAAGACTTCATATTGAGCGGCTGATAGGGTTAGGAAAGACATACAAAATTCTGAAAACACCCTTAAACACAACTGAGACAAAATTGGCCAGTGAAATTTTATTTGTATGTTTTACACTTTGTAATTTCAAAAAATGCATTGTTCCCAAACATGCATAATGTTGACTTCAATGAAAATGAATTAAGTACTAAAGTTGGTTCACAGAGTCATACCAAACTATAATATATGTTAGAACATTTTTATTGGAAAGTTTTGACAATTTGTTTAAAAAAAAATCACTTGCTTAATATGTAATGAACTGCTTTACTGATAACAAGGTGAAAATTAATTGACATTTTTGTGCATTGTACTTCAATAATACCCTAATCTAACCCATTAACTTGGAGATGTCAGTTTATTAATTGATTTAAAAATTCTCAATTAGTTTCAAGTATCTGTATAGCTAAAGTCTTAAAGCTAGTTACATAGTCATATGAAAAGATCTATTGGGGCACATGTACAATGTACACATAGAGTATAGGTATAAATGTATGAACATGTAACAAATGTAAGTTTCTATGTACCAGGTACAACATAAAAGTTAACAACTTAAAAAATTAGTTCATTTTGTTGTCATGGTAATAAAAGTTCTTAAGAACAGCAGTCTTGAAGTATGTGTCAAAAAATGAAATTAATTTCTGCAACATTCTATCAATGAATGCTTGGTCTCTCTGAATGGAGATAACTTTGAGATCTTTCAGTGTGTAAACAACTAAATAACAGCATGTTCTGTTTGAACAGAAGAGTTGCCCTTGAATTTGATAGAAGTAGTCATGAGTATTGTCTAGCTCTAAACATCCATCAACATTCTTTAAATAGGAGACAGTTTCCTCGGATATTTTGCAGTATTTTGCATTGTAGGGGCATTTGACTTCAATTAGTGTACTTTGGTCTAAGATGGCATCAGGGGAAGAAGCAATAAAAGGATGCAACTTTGAAACAAATATTCCACATTTGAGGTTTTAACATTAAATTTTTCCTCAAACTTTTTTATCGCCACTGACTCATAACACCTACCATGCAAAATAGCTGGTACACGAATTTCAGGCATATGCTTAGTTAAATTTTCAGCCAGTTTTGAAAAATCAGTTTTGTCAGTAGCCTTGCAAACTCGACCAAAGTTGGACGAGTGAATTCTCTTTCGTCTTTCATCACGCCAGATGGCGCTTTTACTTTGTCCCCGTGTTTGCTCTTCTAACTTAACAATATCCTCATCTGAAATTTTTGATATATTCATGTTTTGTAACCATATGTATGACAATGGGTGACTGAAATAGTCATGATCTTTTTCTAACCCAATGGTGCTTGCTAGTGGGAAGATTTGTGAGATAGCCAAATCACTAATGTTAGGATGATTTACCCAGACATTTCTGAAGGTATCAGAGTACCCTGGCATATTCCGATATGCCCTGGGCCTTGGATCGTAACTGACATCCACTTCACCCGCTAAAGGCAAGTCATTTGCTTTAATTGGACTTCCTTTGTATACTTTAGTGTGATGGAAAGTTTGTAGGTTTTGTGTACATGTCTCCTCTGTGACAATGTCTAGACTTTTACTGAACAATTGTAAACCAAACAATACTACACACACATGCTTACACACAGCAGTTGGGCCCATACCCGCAGCACACTCACACTGACTTTCAACAATACACCCATCCATATCAACACACACATCCACTTTATATGACACACTCTTCTTCATCTGTGCCTTGCATTCAGCCTTGATGTAGTAAAAGTTGTTTTCAGCACAGAGTCTCACATACTTCAGAAACTTGCTCTCATATATGTACATCACATTACTATTAACACTTTTGTTCATTCTTTCTAGATATGCTTTAACTGCCTCTTCTCTAACTTCGACCATCTGTGTGTCTTTGTTAATATCTTTAAACTTTTCATAACAAGGAACTTGCATGCAATACTCTCTCTCTACTCTTTCTGTAGCACCAAAATTTGCATTCCTGTCATATGCTTCAAGTCTGAAATATGTTGAATGGGAACACTTGTTTTAATATGTATATATAGATATAACTTACAATAAAAAAAACCAAACTGTTACATATTTTTATAAGTACTGCAATAGTTATGTAAATGGTTTAAACAGAGGTTTCTCATCCATAATACTTTCTCTCACTCTCTCTCTTCCTCTCTCAGGCCTAATTTTGTATATTATAGGGGCCTTTACTATGTGATAAGCAGTGCAGTCAGGTAACAGTAAATTTATAAAAAGTTTTAAACGTCAAGCACCTATTGCTATGAGCTAAGCCTACATAATTCAACAAAAAATGGTCTTTTTGAATTTATACAACATATGTAACTCAAATGCATTATGTAACAAACAGTTACTATAAACGTTATAGGTCTGGTATTATGTAACAAATATTGTATGATATATAATTAAAAAGGCCATTCTAAATTGAATTATGTAGGGTTAGCGCATGGGCGCTTGACGTTTTAAACTTTTTATCTGCATTGATATAATTCAGTAATAACAGTAATAAAGGTTAAAAACTTAAAGAGCCTTTGGCTTCGCCTTATACAGATTGACAATGACATGCGTGAAAATCTGACTCAGAGTCAGAATGTCAAAATGTAGACAGTATTAATCTCACAAAAGTCTACATAAAATTTGCTTTTGAAGAACTTTATTGAAATTACAAAGAATATCAGGTACCGATAACGTCTTAATCACGATTCTGTGTTCGACAGAGAAAATTATGGTTAAGAAGTCGCCCGCAAGTATTACCTTTCAACCAATTCTCTTTTGCGGCCGGAAATGCGAGCATTTCGTTTCCGTAGCTCTTTTCTAAGTGTGGGTAAATCCCACGATCCGTAATCAGCCATTATATATATAAAATCTAATCAAAATAGCAAGGTATACAAGGTCAAAATTACGTTGACACTCTCTAAAATTGAAGGTACGAATAGTCATGACCTTAAACGTGTCATGCGCCACCTATAATTCAGGGACGATAATGTGCAGTTTTATTTGCAATTACCAGTATGTAATTCGAGATCTCAAGTTATGAATCAAGGGGGTGAATTAGTAATCTGTAAGATCGTTTGTGTAATTCGAGATCTCGAATTATGAATCGAGGGAACGATTTATTAATCCTTTGGATTGGATTGTCTAATTCGATATCTCATTTTTTACTTTTTTGAAAAATTGATGTGTCCCTTCATGGCTTTTGTAGCAATCTAATTAAAATTAAATCTTCCATCCACTGCCAGATTTTTTTATGTGTTGGGATAGCGTAAACAGAGGCTTTAGTCAGATTGCCATATATGCTATTTGTTTTAGTTCAGTAATTTTACCATGATGGTTTACTACAAGGTTGTTGAAGTATCAATCCTGATACATTGACTGAGCAATATCATTTAACTACTTGAATCACATAATACAATTTTAATTTTAAAAGGAAAATCAAATAAATGTAGTAATTTTAGCATTCTTAATTTTATTTATAAATGTAAATTCATATACACAATGACATGTTTCTGTTTCAAAATATTTAAATCTTTTACAGGATAGAAGCTGATCACTTGTACTTGACAGCAAATAATGTCTTGGACAAGTCAAAGAATTTCCTCCAGTCTTACAGAGAAATGACAGTTGATAAAAGAATGGTGGACACAAAGTAAAAGTGCTCTTCAACATTTTGTTGAAGATTTCAGTCTGATTTGGAATTCATCTTGCAATATATATGGATTTTTATATTTGGATATAAACGTCACATTTTCAACTTATTGACTAGACAGTTTTGCGTTAAATATTGCCAATGCTATCTATTATTATTATTTCCCTCCAAGACAACATGTCAAGTCTTTATTGTACCCCTTAAGCTCTGTTATACCAGAAAAATCTTGTAATGAAATCATTTAGTTTATTTTTTCTTGTTAGATTAAATCCATGAAAATAAAGATTATTTTTAATAGCATCAAAAGAATGGATTTTTTTGTTTAACAGAAAGATTGTATACATGTTTTGCTAGGGGTTTGTAAGAAGCAGATCAGAATTCTTTGTTGGAAATTTTGTCGTTTGCCATTTTTATCACGTCAACTATTAGATGATTTATCCATGATTGAAGCATTTCAAAATTGATATTTACTTACAATTTAAAGCAGAATTCTGAACTGATATGACCTTGACCCCCTTAAGAACAAGAGTGTCAAGGTCAATTTTTAATACAAAAATGTTCTTTCATTTTTATTGCCAATATCTTACATACAATATCATAAAATATACAAAAAGTGTCAAGAATGTGTCCAGAATGTGAAATAACAAACATGTTTATAGCCAAAAACTTTAAAAGGTTGTTGCTTAGCAACCTTTTAAAGGTCATTAAACAGATATTTGAACTAAAATGATGCATGGATATTGCAGTTCTGACCCCTTCTTGAGAGTATATTCAGAATTTTCCATTTCAGCATCCATTGTGTAAAATTATGGCAAGAATATTGAAAAGTGTTGAAAAAAAATTGATGAAACTTTTGCACTTATTTGACCTTTGACCTCCTAAAAATAGTTCTAATGAGGTCAAACTTTAAGACAATTTATCTGCTGTTCGTCCCTTGTACTTTTATGACCTCACATCTAACTTTTATTTGTGCTGGGATGCATAAATGTGTCTAGGATGAGTAATAAACGAAAATTCTGGCCCGAAATTAAAAAATTCTGGGTTGCTAAGCAACCACTTTTAAGTAGTTATATGCAGAATTGAAAAAAAAAGTTTTTATGTTTCATGTAGTAAAGTATCATGCTCTTTTGTGAGTATATCCAAAATTTCCTATTTCAACATACATCATAGTAAATATTTAGCTTGAAGATTAAAAAGTATCAAAAAATCCCATAAAATTTTGCACTTAATTGACCTTTGACCTTTATTTTTACTAATAAGGTCAGATGTTGAGTATCTGAATAGTCATAAAATATCATCTCTAAGACATTCTCTACAAAATGGTATGAAATATATACTGAAAGGAAAAAGAATAGCATAATAGCGAAATATATTTGACTATAAGGCCGAAAATTATGAAAATTGGTCAAATGTGTATTTTGATTACTGTGCACTAAAATTGCTGGTCAAAATTACTCAACCATGAAATGTATGGCGTCACGTAGGGGAAATGATAAAAAGCCAAAAACACGTGCATGTTGATGATGACAATTTTATGATCACATTTTGTGGTGCTGATCGATGCATTGGAGTTAAAGACATTGTTTTCCGCATTTGAAATCAGTATAAATTTCGTGCAATCATGGTATGGCTGACGGAAGTTACAATGGTTCCAGTAATTGAATTGCGTAAGTGGATGAAAAGGCAACAAGATGTTGCTGTGCAGTTTGTTTTAAACTTTTCAACAAGAAAGGGTTTTTCAGTTGTCAGAGAGTAAATTAAAAGGTTTCCAACCAACCATGGCGGTGACGTTGACGCGTAACAACGTCACATCGAGACAGGGCTTTTCACCATGTCACCTCGGTTGTTGGCAAGGTATTATCACTGAAACCGATATTTATACAGCAAACTATCATACCAATATTTTCACCCTAAAATTGACAGAAATTCTCTGCTCTAATTTGGTCCGCGAGCTTGGCAACTTTTACGTCGATTTTACTCTCACGCGCGCACGTACACGTCGTGTGCGTAATGTTTTTAGCATGTTCACACTGGCAAAATGTAGCCCGTGTTTGTCGAGACTTTCTCACAAACATTCACGTGTACTAAACCAGCTGGATTCTGTAAATTCTATCCTAAAATGAAAAATTTGTGGCACTCATTTGGCGGGGGGATTTGTTGGCTTTGGAATAATACAGCTTCTATCAACCATTAAGACTATTGTCGGAAGAGTTGAATAATAATCAAATGAGAAACATAAATGCTCTGGTGAACTCAATGCACAGGAAAATCAAGGCTGTTACCAATGTGCAAGGGAGATTATGAGAATTTTAATTTTAATTTTGTGGGGTATCGACATATCAATTTCAATAACTCAGGAATTATCAGTCAAAGTCACACAAGATTTTGGTAACTTGTAGATTAAAGATGAATTAAAATGTTTGATAACAATACTGGAAAACATTTTCGAAATAATAATTTTAATTTAATTTAAAAGTAAAATATGCGTTTCTTTTTCCTTTCAGTATAGTTAGCTTTTTCCTTGAATAAAAAAGTTGGAAATAATTTAATAATGCCATATCAAAAAGTCTCCAAAATCACCTAAAATGTGCCGGAAGAGAAAGGGTTAAATTAAATACAGATATGTAGAATTTTATATTGAGTATATCTAGAGTAATTGTCAAAATGTTGGATGGTACATTTTCATCTGTGACAATAACCCCTTGCCCCAGTAAAACACAGCATCATGTTTTGATGTGCTCAACTTGATATTTGTCCACTTGAACAATTATTTAGTTTGTTATTAATGTTTTGTGGAGCAGGAATTTAATTTGTCCATGATTTAGGATTTCGAGGGATCGAGATTAAAAGTCTCATTTTAAAGTTCACGGATTCGTTGTACATAGAATTCCTAGTGCAAAAGCTTGATATTTTCGGTTTTGAGGATCAGAATAGTGTTGTCCGTTTTTCCTGAAGTTTTGCTCTGTCTTCTCTCCATTTTTCTTGAATGTTGGAACCAATCCAATCTACTAACTATTGGTGCGATGACTTTTCAAGCCGTATAGTCTGCACATCTAGCTACAATTTTGAAAATTATAAGCAAGACCATTGACACACACACACAGATACAGTCAGATTTCAATCATGAAGAAAGTATCTAGATTATATAATGCATAGGACAAATGAAATTAAAAATAAAACAATTTATTGACAACTTTGTTTAGATAATTAAACATTTCAAAATAGATAAATCGGACAGATTTAAGCAATTATATATGACAACTGAAACTGAAATTAATAACAGATATGAAGAATTTTATATTGAGTATATCCAAAGTAATTTTCAAAATGTCCGATGGTACATTTTCATCTGTGACAACATTATTAACTAATTTGGTTTATGTTTGCATATCAAGACAGTAAAAAAGAATCTCCGACATACCTTTCCAATTTTCTTTGTATTTTTTCCTGAGCGCGGTGAGGGCAAGTTAACATTTTTTTCAAATACAAGACCCACCGGTATTGTTTTTATTTAAAGAATGTGACGATGGCAGATATGGTTTTAACTGTGCCAAGAGTTGTGGTTACTGTCGTGACGACTCACAATGTAATCATATCAATGGAACCTGCTTCAAAGGATGTTCTAACGGATACAAGGGATCGCTCTGCATCAGTGGTGATTTATATTAAATAATCTTTATGTTGTCTTCTGCGTCAGTGGTGTTTATATTAATTAATCTTTATTTTGTCTAATTAAACGCTCAGAGCAGGCATGATCAATGAACAAGAAGTTCCAAAGTAAATCAAAAGTAAAATGTCAACAATATCGTTTATTTTTCATAAAAAATACATTAATGTAAATACATGTTTGTATTTAGTTTTTAAATAATTCCTGCAAATATAAACCCTAAAGTATTGCACAAACTCTTTTAAAGAACTTACATGTTTCTAAAAATCTGCCAGTATTAAACTTCAAATTAAGGCCTTTAAAAATACTCTATACTTTTTATATTTAACACAGGTAAAAAATATCAAAAGATCTTAAATGATTTCTTATAAAGTATTACCTAATTTGTTTAACTTAGAATGTAGTGGTGGAATGTATGGTGTAAACTGCAGTCAAACTTGTGGAAACTGTCTTAATGATACACAGTGTCACCACGTTAATGGTACCTGTTTACAAGGGTGTTCAACTGGATACAAAGGATTGCTTTGTGATAAGCGTAAGAAAACCTCTATCATAATTTCTTTTAACAAAGTTGAAAAAAGTAGGTGTAGAATTTGTAAAGGATGTGATGGAGAAGAATATTTAGCAATACCAAAAGCATGTTAAACTTAAAATAAAAAAGGGTTTTTTTCACTACTAAACAGATTACCCTGAGGTATTTCCCTTTCTTTCGAAATGTTACCATTCATTTTCGACAACATGATCAATAGATAGGGTTCATGTAGAAATATTCCTTGTTTTGCATATAAACAGAATTAACTGTAAACTTAAGACAAACATCGTATAGGAAAAAAAGAAAAATGGCCGTCCTCCGGTATAATGTTCACACTGAACCATAAAAAATGAAGAAGAAACCTTTTTTTTTAAAGAATGTGACGGTGGGATGTACGGTGTCAACTGCAGTAAGAGTTGTGGTCATTGTTTGAATGGTGCACAGTGTCACCATATCAACGGAACATGCGTAGATGGTTGTTCTACAGGATACAAAGGATATCTATGCTTACAGAGTAAGAATTCTATGCATATACGGAGTGATTTTTTATCTCATTAAAAAAATATTCTCAAGCTGTTAATATATATAAACCAGTTTTGGTGCATACACCGAGGGTGACTGGGCATCTTATTTAAGTGTTAAGTTAGGATCTCCATTGGATTTTGTTGCTTGTCTCCGATTATTATCGTGATTTACCATTTGATTATTGTTAACCTAGATAGGGTTAGGACATATTCGTATATTTCGGCAGCTCACTTAGGTCACACCAACTATTTCGTATTATTTAATGTTGAACACCCCAAACTCTGGAAATAACAAGATGTGTTTGTAAAACACTGATGCCCCCGTATGGCAACATAGCAAAGATTAAGCTTTTCTTGAATGCAAATTTAATTAATTGGTACCAAAAGTAGGGTATTCTCACTGGAAAACAATTGTGAAATTTGAAAGTAAGCTAATGTTTAAGTTTTTTAATAATTACAAAAATCTCCAAGGTCAAAAGGTCAATGTAATTAGTATGAAATAAAAGGACTTGCCACATAAAATACTTTTGTAGAGCATGAAAGTCCTATCCCTAACTGTTCAGAAGGTATGGTCAACATTCAATTTCTTAAAAAGTAGATCAAACTCCAAGGTCAAAGGGTAAAGTCTTGTCATAAGGATCAAATATGTAAAGTACGAAATCACTAGCCCTTACTCTTTAAAAGTTATGGTCAAGGTTTGCTCTTTTAAAGTAGGTCAATCTCAAAAGTCAAGGTCAGAGGGTCAAAGTTCTTGGTATCCTATGAAGTGTCTTCTCACAAGGATTTTAGGTAGTGTAGATTCAATTTTGTTCAAATCATGACCCCCGGGTGTAGGACGGGGCCACAATGGCCAATAACAGATTCAAGTTTGTCCAAATCATGATCCCAAAGGGTAGAGTGGGGTTACAAGGGAAAATCAAAATTCTACATAGGAATATAAAGGAATCTTTTTAAAATCTTTTTCTCAAGAACCATCGGGCCAGGGGAGATTAAGTGTATGTGGAAGCACCCCCAGGTAGTGTAGATTCAATTCTGTTCAAATCATGACCCCTCGGGTTAGAGCGGGGCCACAATGGATGATCAAAATTTTACATAGGTATAAATAGAAAAAATCTTTTTAAAAATCGTCTTCTTAAAAACTACTAGGCCAGGAAAGACAATACTTATGTGGAAGTGTAAATTCAAGTTTGTTCAAATCATGACCCGCGGGTGTAGGGCCGGGCCACAATAGACGATCAAATTTTTATTAAGGACATACGCAAAGTACATTACCTACTGATAATTTTCCAAGATATTCAAAATTTAAACTTATAATATCATAACATGTTCTTAGACAAAAAATCAGCATGTGTTTCCAGGGGTTATGAAAAGATATCAAATTTTGAAAAATTTGCATTATCCAAAAAAAAAAAAATATATAAAAATTATAAAACATAAATTCCAGTTTTTTTCATCCAAAAATTGTTTTAGAAGAGGTGTACAAATACATATATAAACATTAAAAATAGTGTACACAGGCCCTTCATTTAGTGGAACTCTTCAACTCCAGGGAAGAACCCAAAAAAGTTCAAACTACGTTGTGTATGACCTTAAGGAATATATAGGAAAAATGTTCTGGAGAATAGCAAAGCCATGATTGGTCATATTAATTGGAAGCATCCACGGGTAGTGTAGAATCAAGTTTGTTTAAATCATGACTCGTGGAGGGGGGGCTAGGGGTAGGGTTTTCAGATGAATATATAGAAACCCTCTTGTATAGTTATATTGATAAGGAAGCATCATTGTAGATTTACATTTGTTCAAATCATGATTTCAGGGGGTAGGGACGGGCCACAAAAATAAAATTCAAGCCGTACTTTTCAACAATATGATCAGGTGAGCGATATGGCCAATGGGCCTCCTATTCACATTTCCAACTTCTTCTCAAGGATCACTTAGCCAACTTTAACCAAACTTGTTATAAAGCATCCGTGGGTAATGGGATGTTTGCATTTTTAAAATGAAGGGTCAAGTTTCATATTAAGCGGAGATAATCAAGAAAAGACTTAAATAGGGCTAGGTAATTTAAAAAATCTTCTATAGACCATAAGGCCAAAACCTGAAAATTATGTGGAAGTATCCTTGGATATTGAAGAAATGTTTATGCATATGTTAAATTAAAGAAAAATTACCTATTGTGGCACCAAAGGAAATGGTTGGGGCACAATATGGAATCTAAGTCTCATATCCTAATTTATATGAAAAATCTTTGAAAATCGTCTGATGAAGAACCATTTGGCCAGAAAACTGAACTTATGCGTAATATTCCTAAGGTAGTGTAGATTTTATTAGATTTTATTCTATTGCTTTCCGTTTTTGTCCGTCTTCTTGTGTTATGCGTCGTTTGTTAACATGTGAACATTTTAACTTCTTCTCTAAAACAACTGCACCAATTTGAACCAAATTTGGCAAAAAGCATTTATAAGTAAAGGGGAACAAAAATTGTGTATTTCGTGGTCCTTGCCCCCCTAGGGCCTGAGGGATGGGGCCAAAACCACAAAAATTAAAGCAATCTTTAAAAATCTTCTTCTTTACTCCTGGACATCTAGCATGCAAACTTTTGGCATGAATGTAATTAATGAGCATTTAGTCCTCTACCAAAATTGTTAAATTCATTGCCCTGGGATCAGGGGTTCTAGTGCTACGGCGGGGCTAAATGTAAATATATTATATACTGAAAATGTATAAATTCTTTGAGAAACTTCTTCTCTGCTCCTGGGCATCAAATAAACAAAATAAGTATATAGTTATGTGGAATAAGGCTGTTTCTACCAAAATTGTGAATTTCCTGGCCCTAGGGTCAGGGTTCTGAGATGCTAGGGTGGGGCTCCATTGATTAAATAGTTAAACTGCAAAAAAACTCTTTGAAAATCGTTTTCTCTACTCCTAGGTATTAAATAAACTACCGTAGTACATAGTTGTGTTAAAGAGGGCTGCCTCTTGCAAATTTGTGAATTTTAGGGCCCCTGGGTCAGGGGCTCTGGTGTTAAGGTGGTGCGATAATGATTGCATATAGTGAAATGAATGAATTCTTTGAACATATTTTCCTTTGCTCCTGGTAAATATGCCAATTACAATTTGCATTTTTAAGGCCATTTTTTTTATTTTTAAAGTTTTTGAATTTTCCAAAAAAAAAAAAAAAAAAATTTTTCTTTCCGATGTCAAATTTGAGTCGGGATCGAGATTTCAAATTTACGAGCACGTACTTCCGGTTTCAAGATGAACATGGCGGGTAAACAGATCTTTAAAGTTCATAGCAGCAACATATTTGGTTTAGTGTAAAAATTTATTGATAGGAGTGACATTCAAAATTGTATTCGTATACAAAACTATCTGACGAGCAAATCCTTCGTTTTAGAATGTGAAGAAGTAAAATATGGTTTGAACTGCAGTAACAGCTGTGGTAATTGTCATGATGATACACCGTGCCACCATGTAAACGGTACTTGCTTACAAGGATGTTCAAGTGGATACCACGGGATGTTATGTACTCAAAGTAAGCAATTCTTCTTCTTGACTGTCCCAGGTTAATAACATTGTCTATATTTATCATCTTGGTGGGTTAAAATGTACTTCGAGTCCCATTGGTTACTTTTTTATGGAAATGTACGTGTATTCATTTAATTCTAATATATAATATTGCCTCTATAGTGCTCCACTGTCCGAGTATTTTTTAACTACGAATATACCCGGTATTGGGGGAAAAATGAAGTATTTCAATTTAATAAAAAAGCATCCAGAATAGGTGCATGGTAAAGTTTGTTTAAACTACACCACATAGGGTGCAGGATGTGATGTAACCACAGATATCAAACTTTTCTACACCAGACCGATTTTTGTTTTTCGGTAACCTAAGTACTCTTGTTAACGCTTGGGCCAATAGGACTCTCGGTACAATTAAGGAATGAATTAAATAGCGACCCAAGTTATATTGTATAACCTGGGTTGTTTTTTTTTTCAAATTCATTTCTTGTAATTTTATTTTCAATCATTAAGTGAAAGAAAACGTCTTCAAACTGTGCAAATTTAAAACGTAACGTCAAGCGGACTGATAAGTTTTTGACGCAAGTCATTGTGAAGTTTACAACCCAGGTAATACAAGTTAAATTCTTTTTTATCCAATCAAATAACGCGTTACAACCGAACTTTATTTTTAACATTTAAGAATTCTTGGTCACTCTTATTTATCTTTATACTTTTTATAAAAATTGAAGTGTTATATTTAGAAATAGTTTTGTTTTTTTTTTTCATCAGTCACATATTATATTTTTATTAATAAAAACAACTATATCTTTTTACACCTTTTCATTCCTTAATTAGTTTGTCCTCGGTCGTATTGGGGTGTAAATTGTAACCAGACCTGTAACACAGACTGTGTTAGTCAAACTTGTAATCATGAATCAGGAGTTTGTTTGACATCATTTCAGGTGAGCTGTAACTTGAGTTACAAAATATATGGCATAATACAATTCAGAAAATTGATCTTAAAAAGCTTAACTGATTTACTTGATAAAATATTTTCGAATTTAATCCCTGTCTTAACGTTGTTTTAAGAGTTTTGTGTTCTATTTTGCACACCTACATTATATTATGTGGAAATTGACAAACGCATGCCAAAAATATTTGTTGTTGAAAACAGTACAGCGGTCACATAAAGTTATTAATAAAAAAATTAATTCATTGAAAACAGGTACATGTACTTCTAAGTTTTAAAAGTTATTTTAAAAATCTTTTATTTTAGATGAGGCCTGACACGCATGCCATCGATCGCACAACTATCATAATATGTGTTGTAGTCTCTATTTTCATTGTATTCATCGGAAGTGTCTTGAACTTTCTAATCTGGAGGCGAAATCGGAGTGAGTATATTTTGTATCTGTGATGATTTATCAAGTTTTTCTGAATGATATGTCTTCTGAGTATACTACAGTGTAGAATTAAGACTAAATTAGGGGCATAAAATTTTAGTAACTCTCCATGAATAATTAGTGGTTTAATAATGTTATATTTCCTGGTGCTTAATCCTTTTAATAATTAGAGGTACATTTTAGATGTACATGACCATATAAAAGACATGTTTCCCTTACGGCCTCTGGCAATCTATTTCTATGTTGCCTTCAACGCAGTTATGATAAGGCTGTCCGAAGGCTTAAAATGCCTTTAAAATATACATATATTTTTGAGCTAGATTTTAATTTTAATATGTAATCCTTGTTTAAAATTGCATTCAACTTGAGATAATAGTTTAATCAGGTTTTATTTTAAAGCATTTTTGCGATGTCACATGACTGTGTTGATCACGTGACGGACATTAATGATATTCCTAATTGTTGCACAAAAATCGCTTAGGCACAAGTGCAACACAAAAATATTGTGCAAAGTATGTAATATAGATCAATTCATCATGATCATTGGTACATAAAAAGTGCTGGGGGCAGGTTTAATTTTTACTCGGTAAGAAAATATTTTACGAGAAATTCAACTTGCCAGCATAAGAAAGGGTATTTTTCATTCTTTATCGCGATTTATACAAAATTGGCAAAACTTCACACAATCCCCCAGCAAAATTCAGTAAGAGGACATACATGTACTTCTCTTGTAGATTCGCTCAGAATATCTTCAATTTTTCCTTGTTTATCACTTGTGCCAGTCCAATATAAACACGATTTATAAATTCTAACTCTGTCTACGGACATGTAAGGGGAGCGTTTCACACATAATTTTTCGCTTTTGTTTGAATATGTGCATATCGGACAAGCGAAAAGAATAGGCATATTTAAATTTCAAATGTACAGCATCATAATAACACACTCGAGCTTAAAAAACAGTCCTAACACTTGAATTAAACAACAAGTCCCCAAAATAAATCTACATGCCATGTAAAAATTATGACACTTTCCCTGTCATGTCAGCTCAAGTACACAGGAAAAATGTCCACATGTGTTAAACATATGTTTGGTTTCACATGTGTTCAACACATGTTTTATACATGTAATACATGTGTGTAAATAAACACATGTAAAATATGTGTTTCATTTATATGTAAAACATATATAATATACACATGTTATACACCTGTGAGATAATATATATGTTAAACACATGTTTTTCACCACACATGTATAACACGTATTATATATATGTAATATATGTGTGCGAAAATACAGATGAATTATACATGTTTAATTTATATAAAATATATGTGTATTCATAAACACATGTTATACACATGTTAAGTTTTATCTCATATGTGTGTGTACATTAATTCAAAAGAATTTGTAAATGTTAGTAAAATTTTACTCATGTAAAGTGTAACTTTGTTTATCCCCCCCCCCCCTTTCCCTTCTAAAAAAAACTTTCACAATTTTTTTTCTGTAATAATGCATTTATCAGACAAAATTGATAAAGAATGAATTCATTTTCTTTTCATTTTAAATCTTTTGGGCTTGGCTTACTTCTTGAGTAAAATTAAAATAATTCCGTATTTGTCTCCGGGCCGGTTTTGTCTTTTATCGGATGAAAATGTACGTCATTTTTGACGTCACGGCTGCAGCAGACGTGCTGGGTGTATTGGAAAAGTAAGTGATCTCCAAACAATTTTTAAAAGACTTTTAATTCATATTGTTTAAATATCATTTCATTATTATAGTTACAGGTGCGTATGAACTTTCTATATACCATACATGTAATACTCTCATCATTGTGACTTATCATGCATTTTGTAAACCTAACGATAGTGATCTGTAATTTTGGTGAAAAATGTTTCTGACTGAATGTAAGCACGGGCACTGGAAGTTAATGTAAATATATAGTATGTGTATGTATAAAAAAGACCCTTCTTTTTTTATACATACACATACTACATTATTTATATTAACTTCCAGTGCCCGTGAATGTAAGCGGTTACATGTTAGGCTAAAGGTGTTACTATTTTTTATAATTTGTATACAGGTAAGTAATTTTGGATAAATTTGTTTCTGAATGAACGTAAACATTACATGTTAGGCTATTTTTTAAAGGCATTATTGGTTTTCCTTTTGTGGTTACGTACTGATATGAAAGTGAAAGTAGAAACCTTGAAACCATTGTGACTGTCAGTTGGTGGTTACCAGGTTATGTATGTTGAGATGGCTGTCAAGTCGATTCTTTCATCAATTTAATAACAAGTGTTTGTTTTTATGGCCTATAGATGCATGCAGTAACTGAGTTCAGTGTCACATTGCTGCGTCTAAAAAGCCCAAAGCTGATAAGACTGGCGATTGATCCTAAAGCTGATTTGACAGAAGATTGCATCTTCACAATATTAAAGGTAAAAATAAATACTACTTGCATTAAAAAATCAAAGTAAACATCTGTAATGACTCCTTCATGACAAAATATTTCTTGATACATTGTAATTTCTTTTTGTTCCTTTATAATTCTACATTTGTTGTTTGCACGACTTCATAAATAATAAGTCCAACTCAATGCTACAATAATTTTATTCTATATATAATATTATAAAACAGTTTTAATCCAGTGCACTTTTAAAATATGGAAAGTATGAATAAGTTTTGCTGGCTTTAAGGTAGAACCTATGTCGGAAAAGTCTTTGTCACAAGATTTTCAAACTTTTCATAATGATAAATTAGCACTTGCTTATCGATCACTTAAAAGCACATGCCATGTTTCCTTGCTATTAAATGTAGTGCAGCCAGTTAAACATTGAATGATAAATACATATTGCGACTTCACAATTTCAGTCATTTTAGGGGTACTTGTCATGCAAAGAAGACAACAAAATCCCAGAATTGCTTCTTTAAACCGTTGTTTCTGTTGTTTATGAATTGAACACTATTAAACAATATTTCCCGAGAATAAATTCTTTTTTATTCAATTGACATAAAAGATAAGTCCACATTTTCAAAACTATAGGCAATCCATACCAAACCATTCTCACAATTTGCTCATGAGCAGCTCACATGAGGACTAACCAGATTTCCTCCCCTGAGTTGCTCACGTGAGTCTCATGTGCAATTTAACATGCAAATTAGGTGAAATGCTCACGTGAGCAGGGTTCTGCATATCAGCATTTTTTGCTCACGTGAGGAATCATTTTGCTCACCTAGAATATTGCTCACATGAGTCTCATGAGGCTCATGTGACTCATGTGCAACAATTGCTCACTTGAACAAGCAACAACAGAACAAAATTCAGATTACAAACATTATATAATTATGTAATTTTAAAATGTGATTCATTGGTTACATTTTAAATACTCTTAAGCAACATATACATGTAAATAGATGCATGCATAATTATATTCAGTGAACTTCATTTTTACTTAAAATGAAATAAAAAATTAAATTAAATTATCATAATTATGTACAGTACACATCAATCAAAGTATTATTATCCAATAGTTCCATTTCCAGTAGATTAACATAGAACATCCAATGTAAATGTCCAGTCAACATTTTTGACTGCACTAGTACTAGATGGATTCAAGTTGTCTTAAAGTTGCCTTGGAGGCTAAGTAGATGTTTCTGCCTTTGCCGAATTTATCAGTGGCATGCAGTCATACTTGTGTGTAAAATAAATAATCCAGTGCATGGTCATAAGAATCAAAACCAATTCTTCCTGTTCCATTCTTTTTCCATGCATTTCCTTTAAATGAGTGCCAACATCAGAACTCCGTCATGTATGCAAGCTCAGCCTAGGGTCCGTGATTAATCTGCAGATCCTTAAATGATTCCAACTTTCATCTGCAAAAAATTTGAAGTTATAGTTATAAGTATATTTTCAAGGTTCCGTTGGTCATGAAAAGCCAGCCCAGTCAATAGAAAAATCATATGCATCAATATTTAATTAGCAACTTAAATACATGTAATTCATAGTCTATACCGCTCTGAGGCTGTCAATTGTACACTCTGACCTGTTCTTACCATATTTATAGTTCTTAATTAAACTGTAATTCCTGATAACATTCTGCATTACATATATCAAAATTAAATACACTGATAATTAACACAAAAACATATTTTTTTTAATTAGTAATAACTGAAATGAGAGGGGGGATAATAAATTTCAAAGCACTTACCCTATTCTCAGATCAGCAAATCTTTGAAATTTTCCTTCATTGTGGCAGCTAGCTGCACCATATGGTAATATATTCTAATTGATCTTTAATCATTTCCTCATCCCATGAACATACTGGATACATTTGTAACTTTTAAAGGCTGGCATCTAGTTCAAAATGGTGATGACATATGATTGGCCCCATGAGAAAAGGTCCTTATGGCAATTTTTACACTTTTGAGTTTTTTTTTATGGATTCAAATAAAGCAAGGTTAGAAGTTACTGAATATGAATTTTTGTGGCCCTACGTCAACTCTAAGTATGTTTTTTCTTCATTTATATTGTTGATACTTTAACAGGTAAATATTGACGTCATTTTACTTTCGCCCAACGTCAAACGTCAAGTTTTCAGAGTGAACACGATTTTGACTTTTCATGGTAACGTTACTATGATAAGGATTTAAATTAATGAGCATTTCCAGAATTTTTTTTTTACTTGATAAATTTTCTATTTTATTAATTGTATAATACCTATAATAATTTAATAGTAATAGATGTATGTATAATCAATCAATGAAAGTAACTGTTTGTTTTACATTTCGCTGTGGTGTGAGAAGCAAAGAACTTTTTTCAATACCAATTTACTATCACAATACTAAAATATTTATTTTATGTAAAGAATTGTTTGAGAAGCTTACAAAATTCATTCGAAAATCATGACCCTCGACAGGTCAAGGTGTCAACTTTTTTATTTGAATACAGTATAACGAGATAAAGCTTTCCAGATATGTGGAAGTTTAAACAAAAAATTCAAAAAAGTCATCG